GATCGATCGATCGATCGATCGATCGATCGATCGATCCTCTGGATTGTGCAGTTCAGTGGTCACAGACGAAATAGGGTAAAGAGTTGTTTACACTTCTGCTGTTCAGGTGAGTGCTGATTAAAAGAAGGTGAGAAATAAGTGTCAGTGGCACCAAATGATGATCTTTAAGAAAAATAAAATTTGAAATAAGAAACAATGTTCTTTTATATTAATCTCTCATTTGACATGGTACCTCCTCAGATACATCCCAAAATATTTAACTTTTCTAATTCTGATGCTGCATTGTCTGTGCTCACCTAAGTGATTATTGAAAGCAGAACCTAAGTAATATGACTAGATAAATTAAAGTTTCGAAATACTTTCATATGATCTACATTCATGTTTTTAGTAGAGAGATTTATGCGATCTGAAGAGAAACCAGAGTATGTTTTTAGTACAGCACCTCTTGTTGTGATATGTAGGTAAGGCAGTGGCTCAGAGACCTTTGGGTAGTGTGGGCGGCATATAAGTTAAATAAATAAATAAGTAGGAGTGTGCCGATGTTTTTACTGGGGCAGACTAACATGGTAGTCCCTTTGGAATTATTACACCAGAAAGGTGATTTCAGTTGCTTATGAAGTTCTGATTACATTACATCACTGTGAGAGCACAGCCCTCAGCTCAGTGAGGCATAGAGAGGACTGAGGTGGCAAGGTGGCAATTTTCATTGTATTTTAATCATTTTATCTTTTATTGTATTTTAGTTGAATTTTAATTGTTGAAAGCCGTCCAGAGACCTTTGGTGTTGTTTTTTCTGAAGAGCAGGAGCTACTTTCCATACCACATGTAGAACGATCTCTCCATTAAGATTAGGCAGGCTAGTGTGGGATGCTCACCCAATAAGTTAAATACTTTATTTCTTTGTCCACACATTTTCTTGACAACAGTCCTTCTGAAGGGGGCTATAGCTCATGAAAGTCCACGCTGTAACAGATTTGTTAGTCTTTATGTGCCACAGATATCTTAATTGCTAGTGAAGTTCATTATAAGCATAATGTGAGTTTGTACTAATATTTTTGTTTCTGGGTTATTGTTTTGTTGTTTTTTGAACATAGATAACTGCAGTTCAATGGTTTAAAACTATGAGCGAAAAAGATATTGGAATACGAGCCAACAGCGTGATGTGGCTGCAAAAAGAGGCAAATGATACTTTAGGCTGCATTAACAGAAGTATTACTTTCATGGGCTCCATGATCACTGCAGGTGGTGACAGCAGCCATGAAATTAAAAGACGCCTGCTTCTTGGGAGGAAAGCGATGACAAACCTCAACAGCATCTTAAAAAGCAGAGACATCACCTTGCCGACAAAGGTCTGCATAGTCAAAGTTATGTTTTTTCCAGTAGCAATATATGGAAGTGAGAGCTGGAGCATAAAGAAGGCTGACTGCCAAAAAACTGACGCTGTTGAATTGTGGTGCTGGAGGAGACTCTTGAGAGTCCCCTGAACTGCAAGGAGAACAAACCTATCCATTTTGAAGGAAATCAACCCTGAGTGCTCACTGGAAAGACAGATCGTGAAGCTGAGGCTCCAATACTTTGGCCATCTCATGAGAAGAGAAGACTCTCTGGAAAAGACCCTGATGTTGTGAAAGTGTGAAGGCAAGAGTAGTGGGTTAAAAACTTGTATGAAGATGATTTATATAGTTATGAGGAAATGTAAAATGGTTCCATAATGGTTCTGTGGAGGAATGATTTTATATGATAGGAATGTTTTCTTCATGAGCCGATGGGAAACTTCCTTGTATCCAGCCATATCAGGAGACGATAAGGCATGAAGACACATGTTGTCTAGATCCGAGACGAGAAGGAAAACAACATGCCTGCTTTTCAGACTCAAGAAGAAGAAATCGCCCAGGAGTTTTTGCAGCACATTGAAAAAGGTGAGACATTTTTGCATGTGAAACTGGGGCAGCTAAGGGCGGGGTTTACTTTCCTGCTTTCTAATTTATTAGTTGTGGGTTGGCTTATTTGTTTATGTGGTGCTAATATTTGGTATACTATTTAGATTTATTTTGTTTTGTGTTATGTCTGTTTCATTTTGGATGTAAACAGCTCAGAACTGTGTTTGTCACCAATTGGTGCAGTATGATAGATAGATAGATAGATCAGTGGTTCTTAACCTTTGTTACTCGGATGCTTTTGAACTGCAACTCCCAGAAACCCCAGTCAGGACAGCTGGTGGTGAAGGCTTTTGGGAGTTGCAGTCCAAAACTCCTGAGTAACCCAAGGTTAAGAACCAGTGAGATAGATAATTCAAGAGCGTCAGTTCTTTGGCAGTCAGCCTTCTTTATGCTCCAGCTCTCACTTCCATATATTGCTACTGGAAAAAACATAGCTTTGGCTATGCAGAGCTTTGTCGGCAAGGTGATGTTTCTGCAAGTCTGCTGAGCCTGCTTCCAGAGGGATTGTGAGGCCACAGGATGCTACAGAGTCCTATCTGCCTGAGCTTTGATACGTAGATCTGGCAACTACAAAGCTCATGTGTGTGTTCTTGCTGAACTTAATTAAGTGCAATCAAGTATCTTTTTAGGATAGACTTGTGAGAAGGGGTCTAAATACTTCCTGGCTGAGGTCATCTGGACTCTACCCAGCTGTAAAGGAGATTCAGATTCTCTAATTGCTCTCTATCCGCCGACCAAATGCTCCCCAACAGGAGACTGGGTCCTGACCAACCCAACTCCAGGAGGCAGTGGAAGACAGGAGGGCCTGGTGTGCTCTGGTCCATGGGGTCACGAAGAGTTGGACACGATTTAACAACTAAACAACAATAATAAGAAGAGAAGTATAGTCTCCAACCCCCGTGAAGTGCTAGTTCTCTGTTTGGCACTGGTTAGACCTCATCTTGAGTACTCTGTCGGGTTTTGGACACCGCACTTCAAGAAGGATGCTGACAAATTGGAACAAGTTCAGAGGAGGGCAACAAGGATGATCAGGGGGCTGGAAACCAAACCCTACGAGGAAAGACTGAAAGAACTGGATATGTTTAGCCTTGAGTAAAGAAGACTAAGGGGAGATATAATAGCATTTTTCAAATACTGTACTTGAAAGGTTGTCATACAAAAGGATTTGTTTGGTTAAATGTCAGGAAAAACTTCCTAACTGTTAGAGCAGTACAGCAATGGAACCAATTATCTTGAGAGGTGGTGAGTGCTCCAACACTGGAGGCATTCAAGAGAAATTTAGACAACCACCTGGCAGATATCCTTTGATTTGGATCCCTTTTTTGAGCAGGATGTTGGACTTGATGGACCTCAAAGGCCTCTTCCAACTTCATGATTCTATGATCCAGTTATGTGATTAGCATTTGAGTTTGCATTCAGCTTACTCTGCTGAGCTGTTGTGACCCATCTCATTTTTGTTTATGTCATGACTTGTTTTTCTGATATCATATGGATGCTATTTTAAAAAGTCACTTTGTCTCTACAAGGTGAAGGACAGATCAAACAACAACAAAGAGAAATTAGATTAATTGGTGTAAAAGAATTAGGAGGAAAATAATTCTAGTAAATAAAACTTACTAAAGGAACAACAAGATATTAAATCATAAAAGCAAAAAGAGTAAATGTTGGCTAGTGAATGTTTTTCAAGTAACTGATTAAACTTGATCTAGTAGGCTAACTTCAAATCAAATATAAAAATTGTAAATATTTTTATATCAAATTTTGTATGATGCAGTTTTTCTACTACTTTATATTTGGGTTATTCAGATATACACAAGTTTTTCTGATGCAAATCAAACTCTGTCATGATAATGTCTTCAGGTTTTGAAGCATCACCGCTGAGCAAGGTCTCTCTTGAGGCTCTGAGGACTTTGGCATTTTCAGAGAATCCTGGCTTACAAATGTCTGCTGCTGCCTATTATTTACAGATGAGTCAATACAGTAAGTAAGATCTGTTCTACATGCTTTTTAAAATTCACAGAAATCTAGAGAAACAAAACATTTTCCCCAAATCCAGCTGAGGAAATACCTTTGTAAAATATATATATTGGCTGCACAGTCAAAGGGTTGTGCCAGGTGATACATAGCTAGTGGATGGATGGATGAAATAATATTACCTCAATTCTCTTTCCTCAAAGGCTCCTATTCCAGTAAACAACAGGGCATTATCTCTGTACTGTGAATGCTATTGTTATGGAACTTTATATGCACAATGGCCTGCGTTTTGCCAAAATCAGTACATTTGTGCAGTGTTCACATCCCATGAATTTGTATGGCCAGAATCAATATGGAGACTTTGGAGGTCCCAAAAAAGTGGAGATAGGTGTGACTCCTGTCATGCACAAGATCTCAGATAGTCAAAGAGTTCCAGAAATGATTTTTGTCAGCATTTCCTCTTATTCTTGCAGTGAATATCCAACTGCCTCCAGATCATTTGGAAACTTACTATGCATTGCTGAAATCTAATGACTTGGAAGTTCAGCAGATTTCATCTTTGTCCCTTCTCAATTTCTTACTGGAAGGAAATGGTGAGTTAAATGTTTGGGAGATCTCTTCCTGACAAGATAAATATACAGTGGTGCCTCCCTAGACAGTTACCCCGCATGACAGTTTTTTTGCTAGACATTGACTTTTTGCAATCGCTATAGCAATTCACAAAACAGTGATTCCTATGGGGAAATTTTGCTAGACAATGTTTGGTCCCTGCTTCACTAACCGACTTTCGCTAGACAACGATTTTGACAGCTCCCTCCGCACTTGCAAAATGGGTGTTTTCGGGACCTAAGCTTTGCAAGACAGCTATTTAAACAGCTGATCAGTAGCGGCTTTCCTATGGACGAGCTTCGCTAGACAATGACGATTCTTCCCCATTGGAACGCATTAAACAAGTTTCAATGCATTCCAATGGGGAAATGCTTTTCGCTAGATGATTTCGCTAAACAGCGATTTCAGTGGAATGGATTATCATCGTCTAGTGAGGCACCACTGTAGTAATTTGCCTAAGATTTTGAGGTTCCCTTCACTCACATACCGGTGGAAATATGCCTTTAGGGATTACTGTAGCTGTCCTGTAGGATAGGATACATGAATAGCAGTAAATGGAATTGGCTCTTGCTCCCATAAAATTTTCTGCGGGTGTGGTGAGGGATATAAAGTCACAGGAGAGCTTTTGCTTCTTGCTGATGGAGCATAATCATGCTGGCCACCAAGGGGTACATTTTTTCCCTTGCCAGGCTGATATTGCATGGTAATGGTAATCTTTTGCCACCTGTCCCATAGCACAGTGGTCCCCAACTTTTTTCGGACTGCGGACTGGTTGGGGTGTGCGGGCTCTGTGTGTGGGTGTGTGGGTGGCACCCTCATGGGTGGGCGTGTCGCGTTTTGTGGAGGTGTGTGTCATGCTTGCGCCTTCCGTGCGTGTGTGTGTGTGTGGGTGCCGGAGATCCGTGTCCATAGCCCAATTCAAGGAAGCCCACGGACTGGCACAGGACCGTGGACCAAGGGTCGGGGACCCCTGCCATAGCATATAGCCAAATGAAAGAAGCTTTTGAAATAGCCATATTTTAAATTATTTATGATTGCCTTTATTCCCAAACAGTCAGCAAACAACATGTCATGCAAATGGATTTACTTGACCCAATTCTGGAACTGCTTGACTCAGACGACACCACCGTCCAGTGTAATTCTTGTGCCTGCATCATGACACTCGCTGTCTCAGGTGTGCATGATTAAAACATTTAAAGGATTGTGTGTGAATTTCGTTCAAGGGTGATTTAGTATTTAGGCTTTGTGTTTAGGTTGGAATAACTTTCTTCGCAGCTGGGATGCACCCCTTTCCCAATCACGACATGCATGAATAAAAATTAGTCATGTTTGATGCATGCATGTAAAATATATGCATGCTAATATTAATGTGCTTTGTTTAGCTTTTGTTAATCATGGTACGGGATGCTTGAGTGGATGAGCTGGGAGCTTACCTTTGGACAAAGGAGGGAACAGACTCTGTGTCAGTACCTGATGTGTGGGAGAGACCTCAGAAGGCCCATGGAGATTGATGCCATGATTATTATTCTTTCTCCAAAACCTTAAAAGATTTGACATTGCCAAATGACACTACTCATTACTGCACAGGTTCTGTGTTCACACCATTCCCAGCCTAAAGCTGAATTGGGGGAATTTGCTAATATACGATTTCTAGAAGTGAGTACCCTCCCTTTGGATCACATGGCTGTGTTCTCTACTGGAGGCTGCACAGCAGTAGTGGGCAGGGCAAGAGCTAAAGATGAGTGGGACCCCCAACTATCTAATAGTGGATGCTTCTGTGTCTGGTGCTGGACCCTGACACAAATAAAACTCATTACCCTGCTTGTCAGTGGGTCGCTGAATCCCCTCAACGGCTGAACTCACCAGAAAAACATAACTGGGCCTTTAACACCCCTTCGTCAGTTCTCAATTTGGGCCAGATGTTGCCTCCCAGCAACCTATGGGACAACCTCATTCACAGAAATATTTGTAGCAGTGACTGTTAGGCATCCAGGTGGAATGTTAGCCATCCCTGTGGAATGGACTTCCATTGGAGGCATGCCAGGCTCCCTCCCTCCACATTTTCAGGAAACCAGGAAAGGCAGAGCAGTATAGAGAGGCTTTTAGCCACATACTTCCCTGAGGTTAATTCATGACCCATACTCTACTGTATATGCTGTTTTATATGTTGCCATATGCTGATTTTTGATTTGGTGAGTTGGTTGCACTAATATCCTTATATCTAATATTTCTTGTGTAAATCACCCAGAATAGTGGCTTTCACTAAGCTGTGTGGTATAGAAATCTCTGAAAAAAAAATAAATCAAATCAAATCAATCAATCAATCAATCCAGAGCTCCCACCCTTTCTTAGTATGCTTGGTACTCATATGCTGTACCTGGAAAACTCTTAAAAGGGTCACCATAAGTCAGAATTGACTTGATAGTATATGATGATGATTCCCACCTTCTGTCACAGAACTGCTAAAACTGATCTCTTCCTTTAGAGTACTCTGAAGGTAGTACTTCTCTCTCAGCAAGAAAAAAACATTTACTTCTCTTTCATTCTGTTTCCTCAGATGTCAGCCGGGAAGCCATTGCTACAGCAGGAGGAGTTATACCATTACTTGCCCTTTCTAAATCTTACAATCCAAGAGTCCAGCAAAATGCAGTTGGAGCTATTTTCAACCTCACACAATCAGGTATTACGGTTTATTTCAAATGTTCCAATATAGTAACACAGAGTTTTGTGACACTCTTGAGATTAACAGTAAGTACCATAAAACTCTTTGGTCTTTTGTAACAAGCTAAACATGGCTACCTCTCTAGTAACCAATACAGTGGGGTCTCTACTTAAGAACGTCCCTACTTAAGAACAATCCAACTTAAGAACAGCTCCATTTGCTAAATTTTGCTTCTACTTGAGAACAGAAATCCAAGATAAGAACAGGAAAAAAAAACCTTTCCTGCTCTTTTTTTAACCTTAGGTGTCATCTTAGGTTAAAAAAAAATTTCTCTAGTGATAGAGTACGTATTAACCAGCTTTGCATTAGTTCCTATGGGAACTACTGCTTCAATGTACGAACACACCTCTACATAACAAAAAAACAGTCAGAACGGATTAATTGGTTTTCAGTCCATTCCTATGGGAAATTTTGCTTCAACTTAAGAACACCATTCCAAAACGGATTAAGTTCTTAAGTAGAGGTTCCACTGTAGTTTCTATGGACGGAAAAGAGCAGATACGGATTAAATGGTTTTCAATGCATTCCTATGGGAAATGCAGATTCAACATAAGAACTTTTCAACTTGAGAACCACCTTCCAATATGGATTAAGTTCTTAAGTAGAGACCCCACTGTAATGATAGTAGGAAAAACATATCGCTGATATTACTCTTTTTGGAAAATGAAGGGCTTGTCACTTTGTATTTCATTGGTATTTTTAATTTAAGGGCCAAACTGTGTATTACAGATAGCTCGTCATTAGTAGCTGAAATCCATTTGCATTCCAGAGACATGATCCAGGCAGGTCTTCTTGAAAGCAGTCATATTTACAAGCAAAGACTGTACTTACTTCCCAGTGACTAATAACAAAATAAAGCAAGCTTTCTGAATTATCAGAGATTTGAAAAGCTCCTTCTATGATAACCAGACATTTCCAAAACTTAATGATTTCACTCTCTTCTAATGACATACTGCATATATGTAATATACTATTTGGCCCTGAATTGTGGTAGAACAGTTTAGTGAAAACATGCTTCAGCAGGTCTTTAGACACTACTAAGGAAACAGATGAATTTTGTTGTAGATTGTATAATATGTGGGATCTTACAGTCAGATGCACTCTTTCATGGACTCTTAGGTGAATGACGTACTGCCATTTTGTACAGAAGTTTAAATGAGATGTAACTTTTATTTCTAGTTGTATCCAGATTATATATAAGCATGACTTCATTGGGATGAGTTTCCTATGATAGATAGCTTTGATGGCATTTTCATACAGGCATATTTTAGCTGGAACCCAGTAGCAGACAGAGTGACATCCTAAGACTTAGGAAACCTGGGTTTGAATCCCCACTCACTGCAGACTTACTGGAGAGGATGGGGGATTGTTAAAACCACTCCTTAAATATCTCATTTACCCCAAAAAGCTCTATTAGCATCCATATAAATGAGTTCCAAGTTGACACCACATGTGTTTTAGCAATATATCATTGACACCCTTCCCATCTTTGGCAATGGGTTACTTATCTTGGCAATATTGCTGTTAAAACCAAGAGAAAATACAGATAATTGCAGTAACACAATTATTTTTCTTATCTCGTCTCCCGATTTCCCTAAAATATTATATTTTCTGACCTTTTAATGTGCAATCTGTGATGAAAATAATGTTCCGTAGTGTACAGTAACATTACAGGCACCATGTTATTGCCTCTTTGTTCGCTTTCAGAGTGGATCCAGCAACTTTTGTTTCAACAAGGTGCTCTCCCAATTCTCATCTGTTTGCTAGAGTCTCCTGACTCACAAGTACAGGTAAAAATGACATTATAAAAGAAGCTTTTGAGATTGAACAAACCAACCAAGAAGCCATGACTGACATTTCTGACAATTTTTGGAGAAATGATACACATTAAAATTCAAACCTGTCAAGAACCGTCAACCGAGTTTATAGATCTGGAAAGTCAGATCACGGTCTTCGGCACCTGAGCTCTTGGCAATTAATAATTCAGCAGGGTGGCAAATTAACTAGTTGAGATACTCTTGCTTGAGGTGACAGAAACATTTGTGGCACCTGGGAGGTCACAGTTAGCCTCTTATAAGAAATGAAAAGAGAGGGGTCAGAGTTTGAGTTATGCTTTCTTGTTTCACGAGTCATATGCATTTCAGGGTTAAAGAATAGTCTTGGACTGTGCCCATCTCATGAGATCTGTTGCAAGTCTTTGTTTAGGATACCTGATTGAGAGTCAAGACTGGAACAAATACTCGACTTCTCACCTTCAGTCTTACATCGGTTAATGTCAAAGTGAAAGTGAAATGCAACCATTGGAAATGTAAAATAACATTGGAGTATAAGTTGGCTTCTGAGAATTTCAGAGTCTTTCATGCTTCACTTCTCAGGATATATGCTGAGCAGTAGAGAGGAAAAAATGTAAAGTACCCTTTCTCTCCATGGAGACTCTTTTAGACCCTTAGGCAAGAAATCAAGACTTTCCATTCAGCCATAATATAGCCTGTGCCTTCCTCATCCTGCTCTTGCAATTAGCACTTCTTAGCAGAGAGTGCAGCGGGAACCAGTGTAATGTAGTAGGTAGAGTGTTAGATGAAGACTTGAAAGGCTCTGGGTTCAAATCCACGCTCAGACATGGAAATTCACGGGGGGGGGAGGAAGCAGTTTGAAAAAAAAACCACTCCTTAAATATCTCACTTACCTCAAAAGCCTTATTAAGGTTGCAGTAAGTCAAGAATTGACGATGGCACAAAAACAATAAGAAACAGATAGACTGTTTTGGAATTGGAGAATGGAAGAGAAGAATTATAAAGCAGGAGTTTTTTTTTTTTAAACCATTCTTCTTTACCATTTCAGCTCTGTTCTCCACTTTGCAATGTAACTCCCCCAGGGGGATATTTAGTGCTAATGCTATGCTCTCTTTTAGTGTTTCCCCCTCCAGGAAAACTGAGTATTTTTCCACTAAAGTAAATCATGGACAACATCTCATAATAGTACAATAAAATAAATTATTATAAGTTAACACACAATAAAAGCTGTGTTGCGCTTAATCCATCTTCCTTATTTGTTTTAAACAGCTGTTCATCTTCAATATCCTAGAGATCCTCTACTTGAAGAAAAAATGTATATTCTATCCCAAAGCCACCAAACGTTATCTTATATATTCATTCTTATTTTCGCTGCAGAATCAACCCAAACGGTTCAAAATACACAACTAGTAATAATAATTCATCTTGAAAATGAGCAAACACCAGACGTGTTTGCTCATTTCATGTGGCTTGAAAAGTTGCTCCAGCTATTAAGAAAGAGCTTTTGTGGAAAGTAGAGGTGTAATTTATTAGAGACCAGCTGTAATAACATGACCTTTCACCGTATAGACTACTGAGGTGTTTCAGTTTATCTTGGTCTTCACACTCAAACTTCAGCTTATCCAGAACTGTCAGGATCTGTGTGGTCTATAGTTATCATAGCTGTGTCCCATCAGACACAGTATTTTTTTTCCTGGGACATGTCCAGGATTCCTAGAAATACTCTCCACCAGAAGGAAGAGCAGTTGCCATGTAGGATTGATCTCAGCGGATGTTCCTAAAATGTTCTGAACTATTCCTGCTTTCAGTCTTCCTGAACCCTATGCCCTTTTTTTGGCAAACTAAAAGCACGTAATGATTCCTTAATAATTAATATTTTGCGCTCTCACTCTCTCTTCTCCCCCCCCCATTTAATTTTAACAAAATACTGAGACAGACCAATAGGGCTACTTCTTTGGAATTTAAGACTCTTTGGCAACCTGACACTGAAGTTTCTTTTGGCATAATGTCTGGCCTTTTTCATTTTAACCTTTTCTCTGACAGCAAGATCATGTGTCTGCTCTAGTCATTGACATGCTGTGGAGCTAAATGGCTCCTTTCCCCATTTGCTGTTTGCAGCATTTGCTTTTGAAGGTCGAAGGGAAGGGAGAGCAGTCATAAGCTGCTGCTGGTTTCCTAGACACAATGGATTGCTGATGGCCCCATCACTCATAGTCCCCCCCATACCGTGGTGGCTTGACCACAGGTTGGGAGCCCAAGGTCACAAGTGCTCCCATCTTGAAATCAATGAGAGCTGTTGTGCATGACTTCTTGGTGTTTTATCAACCTTCCCTTGCAACACATCAATCCCAAATTCCATTTTTCTGCCTACAGTACTATAGCTGTGCTGCTCTAAGCAACATGGCCATGAACTCTTGGCACCATGAAGCCATGCTGCACATCGGCAATAGGTTCCTTCTACGGACACTCCTTCCTCTCCTATCTTCACCTGTGGACAAGGTAAAGCCATAGACTGTTGCCAGGATTGTTGCATAGGGAGACTTAATTTTTTTATTTAAAAAAACCAATTTTATTAGTTTTTCATTCTATCTACATTCAATTTGTGCTTGTTAAACATCGTGTTACATGGGTTGATTATAATTAATTTTTTTGCATGTTGGTGTCTTCTTAGTTGTCCCTATAACATCAGCACGCTCGCAGAGGGGTGGGGTGTGCTTGCTTGCATGTGCTGGGGGCAGGGCATGCTTGTGTGCATGTTCGAAAGGGCAGGGCGCACTTGCAAAGGGGAGAGGTGCACATGCGTGAAAGGGCGGAACACACTCGTGCACATGGATGAAGGGGCAGGGTGCTATCATGGGTGGGTGCAGCATGCATGTGCGAAGAGGTGGGGCTCTCTTACGGAGGAGAGGGGTGCGCTCATGGGTGGGTGGGTCACCTGTGTGTGCACGTGGCGGACTGTGCGGGTGGGGGGATGGAGATCCGTCTCCCCAGCTTGGTTCTGCCATCATGGCCACAGACTGGCACCGGGCCGCAGACCAGGGGTTAGGGATCCCTGATTTAACCGGCAAACTTTGTATTTAATAACTAAATAGGTTCCTAACACATAATAGATGTTATCTAAAGCAATTTATACAGATTTTCTTTATATAATTGTTTAGCCATTTCTATCTCCACATTTTCTATCACGTCTATATCAATATCATATCTAATGTATGTTCATTAAGTATTGTTTTACCTCATCCTTATATCTAGCTTCAATTTACCTTAAGAACCGTGTTATGCCTTTACCCTGATTAGTGATCCGTTATTTCAGTTTAATTCCCTTTTCGTGTAGGATATGCCCCCTTACAATTCCAGAAGTAGGTGTATTCATGCTTTCAACGCTGAAGGCTACCTTTATATTTTTTTTCCTTTTCCATCTTTCTAAGTAACTCCTCTTATTTGTCTTTTCCAAATTCCTGTTTCTATCTCTCTAAAAATTCTGCCATGGCTTGTGCCACCTGAGAACATTTTATACATTTGATCTATCTCCAAGAGATCTTCCAGGCTCTTTTTAATTAGATCTGCTCGTTCTCTCCCCTTATCTTCCCCTCTTTTGATTGGCATACATCATTCATTTCCTTGTTCATTATTCCCTGTCTCCTGTTGACTGTAGTTCTTCAACTGCTTCGTGAATAATTTTGCCTCTTCATTGTGGGATCTCACTATTTCTACAATTGCTTGAAGTAGATTTTTTTTCATCTCAAAATTGTCCTTGTTGTGGCATTATGTCCCAGATGTCAAAAAATTGTATTCCTAGTGAAAGTTGTCCAGATACTTAAAGTAATCAGTCCAGTTACATCAATACTTGCTTCCATAGGTCGACATTAATGGATTGATCATCTTTAGGATTAAGCTTGCATCCAGTCTCAGACGTAAAGAGTTTTCCATGCCTAAAGGCTCAAGGTCCAGTCAGGTTCAAAACCCAGGATATAGTTTAGAAGTTCCACTTTGGCTGGATTAGGCTTTCTAGGGTTAATTTATCTGTAGTTCAGCTCCATCCTCAAAAAGAAAGGGAATTCCAAACAGCTGTTACAAGTAACAAAAACAAATTTAGTTTCCCAGAGTTATTGCCAATAGTGTTTTCAAGAGAAAGATTCTTAAGTTTATAACAAAGTAACACTTCCTTCCTTGAAGTGTAATTAAATGTCTAATTAATGTCCAATTTATGTTCCTTGTGTCTCCCTGCGTCTCCTCTCTCCAGATTCACCGCTAGTCAATCAGTGGTGGGGGATAGAAGACGCTATTTCTGCCATAGGAATTGTCTCATCCGGGGACAGTAAAGCAATACAGTTAAAAAATACTCTTCACACAGTGATAACACGATGTTAATTAGGCTGATTTATCGCTTCTCCATTGACAGCTGCCAACAATTTGCAAGCAAGCTATTTTAGCTGCTTGTTTCTGCTGGCTGATTGGGAGTTTCCCAGATCAAACGTAGCCAGCCACCATTCCCCCTTCCGGGGACAGTAAAGCAATACAGTTAAAAAATACTCTTCACACAGTGATAACACGATGTTAATTAGGCTGATTTATCGCTTCTCCATTGACAGCTGCCAACAATTTGCAAGCAAGCTATTTTAGCTGCTTGTTTCTGCTGGCTGATTGGGAGTTTCCCAGATCAAACATAGCCAGCCACCATTCCCCCATGATCAACAGGCTTCTCCCCCATTTCACTACTTCTCTGGGGTGGTTTTAACACCCTGGGGGCGTCCCAAACAGGTCAGCCCAGGGATCGGAGCTCCGTCCTCCTGCTGCTGTCTTGTCACAGTGTCAAGCCAGAAGTCGGGTATTACTCCCTTTCATTACTCGCATAGGGAGACATTATTGATCAAGGGTATTGTTGTGGTTTTATGAACAGCCCTATCACAAACCTTTTTATTCACAGATGTCCTTTGAACACCAGTTCAATTTACTTTTGAGCAACTTTGCTGAAGGCTACGACCTTAGTATCTTTCTACACATTAAATTAGAGGATTGAAAATATGTTTCAGCAGTATATGCCCAAATGAGCCATTAGCTGAAGGTTATGTGTTACCTGAATCCCTAAGGCAGCAATGGGTGACACATGGCCCATGGCTATGTGTGTACCTCATAGGCTGGTTTTGGAACTTCTGCTGTCCCACATTTGCCCCCACTGCTGAAAACAGTGCTGACCCCCCCCCACAAAAAAAAACAGTAGAGATGCTGCATAAGTGCCCAAAGAATGTTATCATTTTTTCTCTTGTTTTCCAGAAGGAATGGAGACATCTGTACACTAGTAGGTGGTTAGTACAAAAAGATATTCTGCAGATAATCACTTTCCTTTCGGTATCATAGAGCACTGGTTCTTAACCTTGGGTTACTCAGGAGTTTTGGACTGCAACTCCCAGAAGCCTTCGCCACCAACTGCTGGCTGGGGTTTCTGGGAGTTGCAGTTCAAAAACATCCGAGTAACAAAGGTTAAGAACCACTGTCATAGAGAGATGCTGAAGCTGCCAGCAAAATTACTTTAGTGTTTTAGACATCTGGCTGCAGAGCCAGAGTTTGGAATTCAGTTTCCCACTGTGCCTCCTTGACAGGAGCTGGACACGATGATCCATAGGGTTCCTTCCAGCTCTGCAGTTCTAAGGTTATATTCAAACTTGGATCCTTTTAAGGAGAAAGGTGAGGTAAAAATATTTTAAATAAATTAAATAAATATTATTAGCAGTGATTGCTGAATTTTGGTTGTGACAGTAAGGCTGGACAATCCAGTATGATCCCAAGCCCCTGGAGGTTAGCCACCTGCTATTCTAAGAGTTCAAACTTAGTATTCTATCATTGTTTCCTATGTAGAACTAATGGTGGGCACTGCCTTTCTAATATTCACTCCTCCTGTGTGGTACAGAATGGAGGTGGGTATGGAGGTGGAATACCAGTATAATATATATTCCTATAGAAGTGGAAAGCCAACCTTTTAAAAGAAGTAGTTAGTCTCTTAATCAGGGGCCTCCAAAGTACGGCCTGCGGGCCACATCCAGCCCACCTTGCCTTTTTATCTGGCCCAGGCATCCAGGCAGCCCTCAAAAATATGGAAAATATCTTATGTGGCCCTCGCTGTGAAAGGTTTGGAGACCCCTGCTCTAAATCAAGAGCAGTCTAGTTACACCTTAATTCCTTATACCCTGTAACTGTGTTTTTTTTTGGGGGGGTGGCATCTGTGGATCACTAACAGGGTTTGCTTTAGAGGCTTTGATGTACCTTGTGTTTTCACATGGAGCATTTTTAAGTTAAACCTTTGATGCACATTTTGTCTCTAGTATCTTAGAGATGTGAAAAGTGTTAAACAAAGTTAATATGGGCCAGTGGGCTTTATAAGTTTCATGCCGTTTTTGAGAGGGTGGTCCCTTACCTTGTGATCTTTGTTTTCTACAACTAGGTGTCAAACCAGGCTTGTGTTTGCCTCAGAAATTTAGCTACAAATGGTAAGTAACACTCCTAGCATGTCAGTAAATGAAATTATGGGCGGACACCTCTGTGCACACAGACACACAAAAAGATGTCCCCACTCCCCATTCCACACATGTTGTTTTCAACTGTCTGGCAGAGTCCTTTTCTGGTTAATGAAGCCTTAGTGCTCATGGGGGCTCTGAGGCTACTATGTTAGGCACCTTGAGAGAATGACAGCTCCGTTGTTCCATTCTCCCTCCAGCATTTAGACAGCCGCCTGGCTGATGTAAAGATAAGGAACATGTAAGATTGGTGAGTAGACTACCATATTCCAGAAAGAATTTATACCCCAGATGACTGAAGTCAGATATTTTGTCAGGTGGGAACGGCACACTAAATCTAGAAGAGGATATCTGCATGTTGAGCCTTGAGCTGCCATCTTATTTTCCAGAGAGTGTTCAGACCAGCATTGTTGCCCTGCCCATCCTGCCTCTTCTATTCCCTCTCCTGGCTTCTGACAATGCAGAGCTCCAACAAAACACCATCATTCTCCTCCGGCTGTTATCCCAGCATCCAGCCAATCAGGTAGTGTGTCTTCATCCCACTTGCCTTCTAGGCTTCACTAAAATGTGCATGGCTGTAATGTTCAGAGACAGCATATGTAGTTTTGGGAATGTTTCTGAGCTCCAGAAGCTTCTAATAAGGTGTAGTTCTCCATCTTAATGGCTTTATTACCTCCTGCTCAAAACCTACAAAATGCCTCCAGAAAAGGGGGGGGGTTAGAAAAGGTAGGAAAAGGGGGAGGGCTCACCTCTGGAACGTCTGCCATCCTGATCTAAAGTGCCACTCTAGATGTTGAGATCATTATATCCAATATCTAAGATGAACACCCTGCACCATAGCTTGCTTCCAGGTTAAAAGATATGTGAAGGCTTCCTGCCCGAGGATCCCCAAACTAAAGAACCAGCCCTGGATAGCTCCTCTTTAGATTGCAATGGCAACCAGCGGAGTGGGTTGGTGCCTTTATGCCCAGCCAGCCTGTGGACTTCCCAGTTGCATCTGGCTGACCATGGGTGAATACAGACAAGCCTTTGCCAGATTCAGTAGGGTAATTCTTATGCCACAAAGAAAACAAAATTGGCATCTGCTGAAGGCTAGAACCATACTTCTGTTGTGAGACCATTTCTAATTGGAAGAAAGTCACCACTTATGCAAGAGGACTTACTCCTAAATCAGTGGTATACGATTGGACACCTAACTCTTCATAATATGTAAAACAAACATCAGAATAAATATAGTAAGATAATAAAACAAACGTAAACATGATGCTATTTTCCTTTTGCGTAAATGTATATTAATAATTTTGTGCCACCAACTTGATTGTAAGTTAACGGCAACCTTCCCAGGGTTTTCTTGGTATAAAACTACAGTGGTGCCTCGCAAGACGATGCTAATTCATTCCGTGAAAATCGCTGTTTTGAGAAAACATCGTCTTGCGAAATGCGGTTCCCCATTGGAATGCTTTGAAATCTATTTAATGCGTTCCAATGGGGAAAATAGTTGTCGTCTTGCAAAAATCTCCCATAGAGAAACCGTTTTGCAAAGCGCGGATCAGCTGTCAAAATCGTCGTCTTGCGAAAAACGATCCCAAGAACACCTGTTTTGCGAAGCACGGATCAGCTGTCATAATGGTCATCTTGCAAAAAACGGTCCCGAAAAAAAAACGTCTTGTGAAGCACGGTCCAAAACATCATCTAGCAAAAATCGCCTATAGGGAAAACCATTTTGCAAAGCGCTATCGCAATCACAAAAACTCATCGTCTTGCAAATAAACTGTTTTCGAGGTAATCGTCTAGCGAGGCACCACTGTAATCAGAAGTGATTTAGTAGTCCCTGCTTCTCATAACACCCCAGTATTGTGTCTAAGGCCACACAGATGTAGAGCATGTAGTCCAGACCTGGGCAAAGTGCAGCCTGAGGGCCACATATGGCCCGCAAGCTGCTCCTGTCCAGCCCGCTGGTTGTTGCTCCAGTCCGGTGTTCATGCACTTGTTCAAGCCCCAGACAGACTGGATTTCTCTCACTGAACAACTTGAACATCAAAAACATTTATAGCTTTTTGTCTAAAGTTGATCAGTTGCTTATCTTTTATTTTTAAATAAAGTTGGTTCGGTTCCCGAACACAGTTCAAATTTTTCATGTGGCCCCCTATAGAAATTAACTGCCCACCCCTGCTGTAGTCCATCAGCTGCACATACTCCAGGTGATCTCAGCCAGCCCCTCTCTCACTAGGGGCAGGGAGACACTGTGAAGATAAATTCTTGATACCTGGCTCCATAGCCACTGTTCCAGTCTACTAACTACAATGAAAACTATTGATAATTCTGTGTTAGAGGTCAAATGGTTAAGAAATATTTTCTTTGCCTAAGACTGTAATCTTAAACATCCTGCTGAAAATTAGTCCTTTGCCAAGTTCAATGCATCTTCACCTCAACCTAAATATGCATTGGATTGCAGGCTAAGTCTTTCAGAAGCTATTAAGGGAATGACTTTGTGAGCTTAATCCTATACAGTTTTGCCTCGCATTGCGATGTTAATTCGTTCTGCAAAAATCACTGCAGACCGAAAACGTCGCTATGCGATATTTAAAAGCCCATAGAAAAACATGATTAATGCGTTCCTATGGGCTTAAAACTCGCCATTCAGCGAAGATCCTCCATAGCGTGGCCATTTTCGCTGCCTCTTAAGCGAGGAATCAGTCCCTAAACACAGTGGGTGGCCATTTTGTTTACCCGGCGGCCATTTTGAAACCGCCAGTCAGCTGTTTTAAAATCGTCGCTTTGCAATGCTCGGTTCCCCAAGCAGGGAACCGAGCATCGTAAAGGGAAATTCCCCCATAGGGAACATCGCAAAGCGATCACTTTTGCAATCGCAAAAAATTTGTTGCAAAGCAATTTCATCGCTGAACGGAGCAATCGCTATGCGAGGCACCACTGTATATGTGTATTGATATTTCTGCCTTCAGCATGTTCCTCTAGTGACAGTGTGGTGAAATGGTTTGTAATTTCCATGGTGATACAGTGGTGGATCTGACAAGCAAGCAAGTGATGACTAGAGAGAATCACAATTTTCAGAGTTCCAGTGTAATCAGGCTTGAATGTATGAGTGGGGCTCAAGGGTCACATGTATCTCCTTAGCGTCTGCAAATGTTCATGAGTCCTTTCCCCAATATGGTCAATTGTATTCTCTAGGGGTGGGCCCCATCCTTCCGTATCTGGTTTAAGTCGATAAGGCATTTCCCCTCTTCAAAATCAGAAGTGACTAGCTGATTGGCCATTTGACGCCAACATTTTTTTAAAACTTTAAACAAATAATTTATTATTGTGGGGCTCAAGGTCTGGGTGAGTGAATATGGTTTATGGTCCTCTGGATGCTGCCTACTCCTGGATTTCAGGAAGGTGAATTTTCACATTCACTGCAATATTTGCAAGAAATCCTGGGGCTCTATTTGGCGACAGGAAATGCAACAGAGTTTTACACACACACTTAACACAGAGACAGTAAAATATTTGGGCTGTAAGGTTTCCTGTTAGTCTAAGTTCTTCTTTGTGCCAGAAACATCACGGTACATCTAATATATCAGATAATTTTGAACCAGTAACAGGCAACATTAAAAGCATCTGTGGAGAGCTAACATTCAGTCTTCTGTGGGGCAAAGAGTACACAGACACAGGTGTGAAGGTGTCTGTTCTCTGCAGTCACAATGGACTTATGTCAATGAAAATGTCCCATTTCCTTACAGTCATTGAACAAATTAGCCTAAGGCTGTAGTCACACAAGCAAAATGTTTCTTGAGTTGCTCCTCATGAATTTTGACCCTTTTTTGGGAGACTGGATCAGACAGTGTACAGCCATTATCAATTATTTTGTTCCCCCTCAATGCTATCTCCGCATCAAATCTCATCTACTGGGAGCCTTCTTCATTTTCTGTTGCGGGATACATCATGCAACAGTTACAGTGGTGTTCTGTGCGAAAAGCTGTATCAGTACTTTTTCTAGCAAGCAGTCTTGTTGCTTCTGCCAGTGATGTCATTTGCCTACGTGTCCTTTTATTTATTTATTTTTAATTTACTGAGCGGAGTGTCACTGTGTTGGAAAACATACAGCATTGGCCTTTGCGTGTCACTTATTTGCCGATCCTTCCGCCAGGAGGTGATCCTTCCCCTGACCCCTTTCATGTTTTCCTTTTGGGGACCTCATGGTAGAGCTGTAATGAAAACAAAGCCTCCGACTACAAATGCAACAGAGAAACTTGTACCCATTAAGGAAATTTTGCCAAAACATGGATCTAATGAAATTTATTTATTATTTATTTATGTTAAGGAAGAAAGGGGCCCCAGAGACATAAACAACTCAGAGGGAAATATTCTAGTGCTGAAGTGCAAGCCAGTCGTATCACATCAAATTTAGGGAAATGTCATGGTAATTCAAAAACAAGTCAGAATGTACACCCTGGGATATATGTCATGTGACCACAACGTGTGACTGCTCAGAGAGTAAAAGATGTGAGAAAATAGGGAAACATTTTGCTGGTGTGAGCAACACCTAAGTTAAACAACACCTAGTCCCACATTTATGCCACAGTGGAACTCAAGGTGGCCTACCTGGTTGTCTCCTATCCAGGCATAGACCAGACCCAGACCTGTGTAGCTTCAGCGAGGTGATTGCATTATATGCCCTTTAGGCTACACATCAGGATTAGCACATAATCAGAAATATCCCAAAAAATGGAAACCCCTCTTCCTTTTCTCCTATTCCAGAATAGTGCTTTTTTTCAGCCATGTGACTGGCTGCACAGGCACTGGTCATCATCCACAGGATGAACTAAGAGAGGCACACTTCTGAGCTATCAGGACCAGGAAGTGTTGAATCAACATTTTCGGATGCAGTCTTAGGCAGCAATGGCGATTTTCAGGGAGAGCTCTTAAACAGTAGCAGCCAAAGCATCTATTGCAATTTTGCCTCACCAGTGTGTTGACCAGCTGGATTAACTGGTTAGGATAAGGCTTTCAAGATAAAATAAACTGGAAACAATGTGTAGGGAGAACTTCTTGGCTGAAAAGATCTTAGAGATGTGAATGTAAAACCACCTCTTGGTTTAGAGATGCTGCATCGCAAATCACTGTAGTCCGACCAGCTGGATTAACTGGTTAGGATAAGGCTTTCAAGATAAAATAAACTGGAAACGATGCGTAGGGAGAACTTCTTGGCTGAAAAGATCTTAGATGTAAAACCACTTCTTTGTTTAGAGATGCTGCATTGCAAATCTTGATCATGTCCCACAAGATCAAGAAATCAGGCTTGGAGAGGGCTAGATCATAGGCTTCTATAGGCACTGAACTACATCCCAGTCTTGGCCTCAGAGGTCCATGACTGTCCTCCATCTTCTTGAAGAAGCTGATTGTACTCTCTGAAAGCCCCAACTTGAAACTTATGTTCGTTAATCTTAAAAAAGTTATTGCAACGTTTTTGTTTTTTGCTTCTCTGCCTTCTCGTAATTTAGGGAAGAACTGCAAAGCCAGGATGAGTTTTGGGGGAAAGATTGTGTGTCATGCTGGTGGGGAAGTAAACTCCGGTGACTTTTTCAGACTATAGTTTCTCACTTAGAGAGTTGCCTCATTTAGCAGTTATCACCACTCCTAGCTCAGCCGTATGGAGGGCTGTCACTGCTGCAGCAAAGCAGAAAGAGATCTGTAACAGATCACTCTCCCAACCATTCTCAGTAGAAGTGTTTACATTGTCCTCTCTTGGATTGCAGTTCAGCCCAGTTCACATAGAAAAGTGGCTGACCCTTTGTTACCATTTCATACTGGAGCCTATTTTTTTCAGACCTTTTCTAGACCTCCCATTCTGGTCTGACCTGAATTCCAAGTGAGGTAGAAAAGGAGTTCTCCATGGAAACAGCTGGAAGGAAACAAACCAAGGGACAAAGTTAAGGTTTTCAACTCAATGAACTAATACTTCATCTGTTGCTAAAGCTACTGTTTACAGAAAACCAGATATTGTCTTCTCATTAATCCTCCTTAGATCTGACACCCTGAATGAGTTTATTTTTGAGATTTATTGGATTTATACACTGTTTTTCCCCCCAAAGCAAATTAGATTCAGTGTGGCTCAACGTAGGACTGAATGAAAGTACAGTTAAAACAAATCCACATATTAACATACAAATAGGTTTAAAACACATTAATAAAGAATAAAAAGGAAAATTAAAGATATTCCCTCTAAGAAAATAATCTGTCCTTTGCCTAAAGCCTGCCTGAATAAAAAAAGGTGTGTGTTTTTTCCCAGTAGAACAACAGGAAGAAGCCCAGCTTGGCCTACCTCGATAAGGAGGCAGGGAGTAGCCACTGAGAAAGCCAGGGATAACTTTCTAGAGCTGGAGGACCCCTCTTCTGATTTAAAAGATAGGCAGTGGTGCTTCACATTGGGCCATTATCAACCCCCCCCCATAAGTAACAGGTGGGCTAATCCTTTGAGTTGTGGTTTCATACAGTTGTGTCACATCGTATCACTCTTTTGCTGTCCCCCCCTTCCCCCAATTCACTGGCTCTGTTGCTCTTTGCAGGATAAGCTCATGTGTGATGAAGTGTTACAGATTTTAGGGAAACTGCTGCTTGCCTGGAAAACACACCCCGTGGTCATTGGTCACGCTGCCTGCTTCCTCCAAAATCTGAGCTGTTCTGAAAGCATGCCAGTGAGTGCCAAGCTTCCCTATTGGAATTACACTTTGTTCTGAATGGTTCAATTCCCTGTTAATTCAGTTAAGTAATATCAGTGAAAACAACAAGTTTGACCTTGTTTGATCCTTATCCAAGAAAGTCAGTGATATTGCATAGGAAAAGTTTTAGCTGCTGACAATTCCCACTGACAGGCCCCAGTGAAAACCAAATCTGAGATTTCTATGTGGTTGCTTTAGATTTTTTAATTTGGTTCCATAAGTAAATTTCTTTTGCCCTAAGTACCAGATCTTTCATAGTTTGTAATGGTGAAAGGATAAATTTTCAGTTGTACAACACAACAGTTAAAATCCTGTTGCTTAGCACACAGTAGAGTAGGCCAATTGAATCAGTATGGATTTGGTGAATCAACTCCTCTGTAAGTTCCATTGATTCAAATGGGTTTACTCTAGTTGTCATTTACTGTCAGTGTTTAATTTCTCTGGCTAGTGGGTAAATAGATGTGGTTACTGTATCCCACCTCCATTGCAGGAAGGGACAGGATGTTTATTGTCCATATTCTACAGGGCCAGCTGCATAGCATCTACACCAGCTGTAAATTGAGGCCTGTCAGTGTAGATCTGGAACTAAGACAGTTTATAATACAGTGGTGCCTCAATTTACAAACTTAATCCGTCTCAGAAGATATTCGTAGGTTACAATGTTCATAAGTTGAATCAGCATTTCCCATTGAAATGCATTGAAACCTGATTAATCTGTTCTGGATGTTTTTTGTTTGTGTGTAGAGGCGCTGGTTGTAAGTCGAAGCATTAGTTCCCGTAGGAACTAATCCAAAACTGGTTAATCCGTCCTCTACCACTAGGGGGAGAATATTTTTTTAAAACCTAAGATGACTTAGGTTTTAAAAAAAGGGCAGGAAAGGAGAGAGGGAACAATGGGGAAAAGAGGAAAGAAAGAAGGTCATTGGGGCACACAGACCCCTCAAAGGTTTGTGCTTTTAAGCACAAAAAGAGAGAAGACGGAGAGAGAGAAGACAATGTCGGGGAGGGGGAAGAGAGTTTGGAGTCTAAAACACATTTTAAACCCACACATGCTAAACCCACACATTTTACACTAACACATTTTAACCAAACCAAACAACATTTTAGAGTCCAAGAGCCAGCACAGACCTTTGCAAAAACATTTCTGATTTTAAAACCAAAAGACTAAACTCCATTTTAGAGCAAACCAGCCAGCACAGACCCTTGCAGAGCAAAAACTTTTCTGATTTGCAAGGGAAGCATGCTTGAACCATTGTAAAAGCACAGAAAACAAACGAAGCAGATTAGAAATGCAAAGAGAATGAAGCAAAAAAGCAAGAGAAGCATGCATGAACCATTGCAAAAACAAATGGAGCAGATCAGAAATACAAAGAGAACAAAGCAAAAGGCATGCAAGACACACTGAAAATAGGGGGGGGGGAACCCAAAAAGCAACCAAATCCCCCAAGACCCATCAGAAATGTGGGGAACAAAAAACAAAGAAACAAATTCCCCAAGACCCATCAGAAATGGAAAAAAACATTCCAAAAAGGGACTAACCCCCCCCCATTGGAAATGGGGGGGAACCAAAAAACAAACTCCCCCCAAGACCCATCACAGCATGGAAACATAACCCCCCAGTCAAAAATCACACTGCAAAAATACCCAGAACAGTTTTTTTTTAAGTATAAAGCAGCACCTTACCTTAGCAGGCAGCCTCCTTGGATTGCACACACTCTAACTGCCAGGGCAAAAAAGCTACAAAGAAGCAGCCTTGTCGCCACCTATAGTTAGCTATTTAAATTTCCCGCCCTTTTCCCCTGTCTGTTTTATGTTCGTAAGTGGAAGCTCTGGTTGCAAGTAGAAGCAAAATTTTGTGACCGCAGCTGTTCATAAGTCGAAATGTTTGTAGGTAGAGGCGTTCGTAAGTCGAGGCACCACTGTAATATAAATTCCTGTCTGGATTGTGGGTTGACAAGAAGACAGATTAAAGCTCCATACCCTTAAATGGAGTGAGCTTTTTAAAAAAGTACAGTGCGGTGTCCTTTTGAGTAAACGTGTGTAGTGTTCCATGGTTAGTGGTTATCCCTCACTCAGGTAATACTTATTAAGACATCCAAAAATTACTTTTCCCTATACTATACTTCGCCCCCTCCCATTTGAATCAGTGCTAACAGACTCACAATATTACTATCCACTCCACACACGACAAGATTTGTAGTTATAAAATTGCACTATTCCGGTATATTCTTACATACTTTCTCAAACGTAACTCCTTGACCACCACGTTTAGTAGAGCTAATTGCCAGGTAAGCATAGGTAATGAGGTCCTTGATGTTATTTACTCAAAAGCTGAATTCCATACAGCTTCCTCTCAGGGTAAGGATCGGCATTCTCCTCTGTCCAATTTGGAGCTCCTTCCAGGAGCACTGCTCCATCAAGGTGTTCAAGACTGGGGGGCTTTGGTCAAAAGTAGAGGCAGAAGTGAGAAAAAGAAGTCATTTCATTACCATCATGTGAAGGTGAGACCGATCAACCTCACTTCTGGCAAAGTTTTATGAAAAAGTGCTTGAACAGTTCCACAAAACCTCTGGGAGAAAAGGCTTTTAAAACGACGACGACAACAACAACAACAACAAGAAGCATGGCCAGAAATTAGAAGGCTCAGGATTTGGAAGACTCTCTCATCCTTGTGGTAGGCTGGTGTGAATACACCAAGGCTGAGCAGAGCAGAGAGCTATTTAGTTGAGAGAAGGCAATTAGATTTTGCTTCCCCACTGAGTGATGTGAAAAATCTTACTGTCTTGTCACTCTCTTCCCCCCCCCCTCCAGCTTGGAATTTCTTCACACACACTCAGAGGGCTCACCTAGTTTGGGAACCAGTGGTCTGGAACACATGTCTATCTCTGTAGTAGCTAAGGGCAGTGTTAAAGGCATAACTGCCTATGTTTGTTTCCACACTGATGAGGATTATATCTGATTCCTAATGTTATGTGTGTACAAAAATCAGGAATGGCAGTCATTCGTAGACTGCACTCATTCTTATGTCAATATTTGTTGCTTCTGTAGTTCCCAGCTTATAGCCTGATGGCACCTGAGAAAAATCCTGGTTGGGGCTGAGTGGACCTAGTTCTTGTCAGCATTGAAATAGGAGTTCAGCTCGGCCATTGAGTCTCATGATGAAGGAAAAGTGGGATATGAAGATACTAATTTATGCCTTGGATGCCTTGATTTCTTCCAGTAGTAATTGTTCCACCCACTTACAAGGCAGTCTGCAACACCCATATGATTTCTTTAATTTGCCTTACAGAGTGCCAAATGTAGGAAATACAGAGTATATAGAAACCTTATTTCATACATGGAATTAATGTCAGAATGAAGATGGAAATGAACTGCAGTTTTCCCCTTAATGTTTTTAAGAAAACCATACAGGTTTTATGGTGAGACATCAGGATCCACCCAGACACAAACATCTTTTTGCATGAGATTCCATTTCTCTCTCTATATTTCTGTGTCTTTCCTTCTCCAGGTAAATTTGTTAGGGTTCATCTTGCTTGCTAGGAAGTTCTGAAATAACTCTCACATCCACAGGGAGGAGCTAATGACAGGGCCATCTTTTCTGAATGAGTTTAGGTCTACACAGTGCTCTCATAGCTCAATATTTTTTTCCTTCTATTCCTCATGCTAGCTTGGTGGAGATGCTTGAAATTTAATATAAAGCAGTTTGTAACATAAACTATTATTACACTACATTGTTTACAGAAAATCGTCAAAAGTCCATGCATTGAAGGGCTCCTTCAAACTGTCCTCAGTGCAGACTTTCTAGAAGAAGAATCTCTTTCCTGTGTGATATCTTGTCTTGCTGAACTGCTGAAACATGGTAAGAGGACCTTTTCATCTCTAGATAGATATGTGCACCGTTTTTGATTGGTTGATTTCAACGCTGTGATGATGTAAATGGCAATCACCAGTATTAAATAGATTTATGAAAACTTTATTGGAGCCTCTGCTGACAATCCTGGGGAACTGAAAGTAAAGAGTAGAAATTAAAAAATAAAATGAACAGAATTTGAATGCTGTGATGTCCCAGTGTCCAGTTGCTAACAGGTAAAACACATTACTCACCAGTTTTAAGGGGTGTGGTGACGCTGTGGGTTAAACTGCAGAAGCCTCTGTGCTGCAAGGTCAGAAGACCAGCAGTCGTAAGATCGAATCCACGTGACGGAGTGAGCTCCCATCGCTTGTCCCAGCTCCTGCCAATCTAGCAGTTCGAAAGCATTTGTAAAAATGTGAGTAGATAAATAGGTACCACCTCAGTGGGAAGGTAATGGCGTTCTGTGTCTAGTCGTGCTGGCCACATGACCACAGAAACTGTTTATGGACAAACCGCTGGCTCTATGGCTTGGAAACGGAGATGAGCACCGCCCCCTAGAGGCGGACACAATTGGACTAAATGTCAAGGGGAACCTTTACCTAAAACACATTAGGCACCAATTTTAATCCTAAGGAATTGAATTAAAGTTGTACCACTAGGATGATGACTACAATCCAGTAGTACATTGCAACTAGAGTAGGCTCATTAAATCAGTGGACATTTGGTGAGCCTGCTTCTCTGTAAGCACCACTGATCTAATGGGCCTACGTCAGTTGAGACTTACTGCTGGATTTTGACCAGTATTTGACTTAATGTTTAATGATTTCTATGCTAATTCTGAGCTGTAGTAGAGGACTGGGCAATTTATGGCCTTGCAGGTGTTTTCAGATGCCAGGAGAGCCTATGGTGAGGGACCACAGGAATTAAGAGTCAAACGTCTTCTGGAAGACTGGGAGCGCATTACAGTGGTCTAATCTTAAGAGTCAAACGTCTTCTGGAAGACTACAAGTTGTCCACTTCTGCTACATTGGCTTTTCTCATAACATCACCTGTGATTTAAAAGCAATTGAATGTTTTAACATGAGAGCAGTTTGTCTGACACATGCAATATTGCTGGATCCATGCAGACTGTGGTACCTCACCAGAGCCATAAAATTCTCTTAATTCCAGATAAAGTCTTTTACCACTAAAGGGGCACAGTATATTCTTAGAGAAAAGGGCATATTGAGGCAACAAAATGATGCAGGGCTCCTTCCTTGGGCTCTGTGTATGTAGGAAAAGCTTAAGCTTAAACAGTCCTTAAGTTGCAACAGAAAGGCTCTCTAGATTCCTCATAACGTGATGTCATGGCCTCAAAGTGAGGACCCAGGTGTTGTCGCTTCCACAGTCTGAACAAGAACAAATAAATGTTCTGGGCTGTTAGGTTAAAGATCCTTGAACACAAGAACAAATAAATGTTCTGGGCTGTTAAAGATCCTTGAATAAGCCTGGTTGGTAAGTATCTGTGAGTCAGCAGCAGCACTGACAGCAATGACTACTCCTCTCATGGTATAAAAATCCTTTCCTGGCATTGTGCAGGCCTGTAATATGAACCAATGTTTAATTTGTGGCGCCACACAAGAGTACAGTTGAATTCACTGAACTTCCATAGTGACCGAGTGTATTTTGCCTACTCCATTTCCTGACATCCATTCATGTGCTATTACTTCAATGTTCACACACATCTCCTTTTTCAAGACATTGCTGATGACAGCAGGTGTGTAGCAACAACAGGACCAATAGGTGTATTCCTGCTTCGTTCTCTGCATGTTCATTGAATGCATAGAGGAGATTGTATGCAGGTCCCTAAAATATCATTCTAACACCAGCCCCCTTCACTTTGCGTTCTGCCAGAAGGGAACAGTTAATAGACCATAAAATAAATGCTCCAGCTGATTTGTTTTATATCTAGGCCAGTTGCCAGAATTCTTTTGCTTTGGAAAAGATGGAAATGTGAGCTTTTTGCTTGAATCTTCCCAGCAGAAGTCAGTAATGCATGTGTGCTGATCAACCAGCTCATGAAACCAAATTGGACCATTGTTCATCCTTTTGCACATAAGATTGTAGGCTACATGGATATGGCTGAGGATAACCAGTTCCTCACAAGCAATACTGTGCTGAAGGAACAGGAGTGAGAGATAATAGAGCAAGATAGCCGCATGGTAGGAGTGGCTTCAGGGATTACAGTAGTCTGGTGTCTTCCTTATATGACTACCCCTTGGCCAAGAATAGATTTATCAAAAGGATCAAAATAACAAAGCAAGATGGATTATGTAATTTCCATTGGAATAGTTCCTCATGTCAATGAAAAACTGGTTTGGGTAATGTTACATTTTGGCACAATGACACCATCCAATACTTTACCAGGATATTTTAATTTCCCTCCATATATATCTCAGACCTTCTAAAATCCATGTTATATGTATCTCCATTTCTCTCATCATTTTTCCATCTTTCACATCCTGTTCTTTTAATGTGTTCTGAGTTCCTGTAAAACTATTTCAACTGTACCTATTTAGCTGCTGTTTATCTGTTCTCTCTCCTTATCTACCACCAGAAAGAGCGATAGCGTGTATACTGGAATTGATTGATGAACCATTGATAGATATCTTACTAAGATTGGCTGGCCAAGTGGAACAAACAGAGACTTCCTTCCAAACTGCCTTTATCATCAAATGCATAATCCAACATGGTACATATCAACATAGTTTAATATTTACATTCCTGGCACAGTGAAATCACCCAGGAGGTATGCCAACAACAAGGGTGTTGTAGGGTTTAAACAGGTTTGGCAAAAAATGAAGGCCTACAGCTTTAGATTTAACTGCAAAGGCTTTTCATTTATTTGCAATCCTGACAATTTTGGCATACTCTTCAGCAAGACTCAGGGTTTGGAATTGACTCTGAAACACTTTTTCTGAATAAATGAATTATAGCTAGAATGATCAGTGGTATCAGTCTGACAAACTCCCTTCTTGATGCAAAGAATAGAAACTTAGTTCACAGTAAGTGAGACCAGGTGTTCTGTTTTTCATATATTCTTGCAGGGACATTGCATTGTCCTTTTTTATTTGTGAAAACCTGGTTGAGAATTTGAAGGCAGGGATTTGAGTGGTGGGTAGATGTAGGCTTGAAAGGTCTATGTAAAAGCCTGGCAAACATTTTATACCATAGGAGGATCTTTCATACAGAATCAAATCCTGTTGAAGATGCTAGAATTCGTCGGATATTTACATATCACTGAGTGAAGTATGAACTGATGATTAACTTGAAAGTCAGTGTAGCACAAGGCTTCTATTGAACACACCAGTACAAGTGTCTTCTAAAATAATACACTAGCCTTTGCATACACAGCTGAGCTTAAGTCCAAGCTTCAAACTGGTGTGCCATTCTGCTAGTCCATTAGATTTCAATACTTTATTCATTCAGATTAGTAATGAGAAAAGGAAATAGTAAAAGTCATGATTTACAGTGTAGTTTTAGAAGAGGTAGTATTACATTGCATATCATGATGCAGTATTAATTTTTATAATTGTGATATCTTGCCTGGTCTTTGTTCTGTTATTGTTTCTCTTTCAATTTTAATTGCATAGGAAATATGGTATTTTTGTTCAAACAACATATGAACAAAGTTCAGGAGTACCTCATGAAGTATCTTAGCCACCAGGAGAATCGCTTTCAGCAGCTGGGCATATCCACGCTCTGCCTCTTACAGAAAGGTATGGACTACTGCATTCATCAGTAAATCCAGGTTAAATCTCATGGGGTCCCTTTGCTATAACGTACTAGCTCAGCTCATCAGTATTTACCAGAAGCACCACAGTTATAATGCACAGCTGAGTCCTGACTATTTCTGGTAATGAAAACCAGGGTACTGCTGTATAAAGATCTGATGGAAAGTTAATTGAATCTCATTTCATTGAGATTTTAATGAGCCATTTTTAGAGGCTCACTGACATTATCTGCCACAAGTTTCTTTCTGGAACAGAGTTTTTTCTCATAATCATGTGTGTGAATCCTGGCAACACCAACCATTTGGAGGTCTACAAATATATTTTTAGCAGCTAAAGGAAACCCTACGTATTTTTCTAGACTGAACAAAAATTACATCGTGAAAGAATTCAGTGATAGATGTTTGTCCTGACTGAACCATAATGACTTTTCATTTTCCTTTTATTTCAATGTAATCCATACCATGGATTCTGGTATTGGATCTAAAATTACTTTCAAATAAAAATGTCAGGAGCTGTAGCTTAAGACAGACTATAAGATATACTCAAGATGGTGCAGAAGTAGGATGTATGTATTGCAATAGGCAGATAGTGGATAGAGTGGGTGGCAACCCTCCTGAAATTTTGGGCTGAAGTGCTGCCCAGCCCTGAATATTATGAAGAGGACAAGAGCATGGAAACTCAGAGTGAAGACAGCTCAGATGGCATCACCGTAGCACAGGTTTTTAGATTTCCAAATGGAAGATCAGACCTGCAGCACAAGTCCAGGGGGAGGTCCAGGTAGAAGAAGAAAGTAAGGTATAAGAGAAATTTAAAAGGAAATGCAGTCATCATCAAAATGAAGTATAATGACTTGGATGGCTGAAAGAAGGAAGCATTTTGACTGAAAAAACAGGAGGTCACATGCTCAAGAAATCATTGTTGATAAGGCAAGATTTCAAAGTATGATAAGCAGAAGTATGCATACATTATAACACAATTTTAAAATACTGTAAAATATTATGTCAGGTACTAAACATTGGTAGTAGATCACTCCTACTCTCAAGAGTTTGTCAGTCTGCATTTGATGGACTTGCCAGAATTTTGTAGACCCTATGTGGATGTAAACATTCAGAGGACACCCTTTCTTTGATAGCATATAAATTTATGGGCAAGGTTGAAAGATATATTTGCTTATATGAAGTATGCTGCAGATCTGAAACCTGAATTCCATGTCTCTTGTATTTAGATTCAGAGTTTTTATCAGCATTCAGTCAGAACCAAATGAAAAAATACCTGGACCAAGTCCATCAACAAACTGAAGAAACTCAAGAGCTTCTTAGTGTCGCTATGAAACACATGGACACATAAAGCATCGTTCCAGCTTATATTAAAGTTTTGTGGTCCATGGCATGGATTTCTGTCTCCACCTATGAATAGGCAACTGTTTCAAGATGTGAGTATCTCAGATACATAAACATGGTTGTGGCCATATCCACAACCAGTACATGGATGATAAGATTCTTATTTCTGTGCATTGGGGAAAGCTTAGGTCCCATTCACCAAGGAAAATTTCATTATTCAACACTTACTGGCCTAAACCATATTGATTAGTGTAGGTATTAAATGGCACTAGAGTAGACCCACTGAATCACAGGGAATTTACTGTAGTGAGTTATTTCCTCTGATTCAAATGGACCTGCTCTAACTGTGACTTACTTTAGCATAAGTCATCACAATTAGAATAGGCCTATTTGAATCAATGGCAATTATGGAGGACATGACCCACTAAAATCCCCCTGGATGTAGTGGGCCAACGCTAGTGTGATTTACTATGCTAAGCAACCGGATTTGGGCCATTGGTTCACAACAGCATGCATGACCCGGATGCGACTAAAAAGCACTGCATTTGAGGTGATATAAAAGATCTGCCAAAACTATTCGATCTATAGTAATTGACTGAGATATGCAACTTATTTTAAGCCACAGCCATAAGGACAGTTTCACTGCTCATATGGAGACTGCAACTTTGCATTATCCTTGCCGAGGCATTGATGAATTGCAGGACCTACAGTGGGAAATAAAGGAATGCTGCTGTAGGATCAGTTCCAGCAGCAGCATAGGGTACCATCTATTTAGTCCCTTTTTGCTAATAGCAGGAGCAGTTCCACTGATGGAAGGATTAGTGAAATTGGCCAGATTACTTCCCCAGGCTCCTATCACCCCAAAACACGCTTTGGAATGTTTGATCACCTTCTGGAGCAGATTTGCAGAAGGTGGAAGCTCTCGGGGTAAGCTAAAGAGGGGAATTCCTGTGTGAATAGCTCCGTTTCAGCTACGTATGTAGGTCATTTCAAATGCATTTGGGTCTTTTAACAGCAGTCACTAGCCCCAAAATTTGCAGTTCATGGCAGTTTTTGAATTTAAAAAATGATGGAACCCTAACATTTTCAGATGTCTGGTAATAATTAGTACATGGCATTCTATGTGAATTTTTTCAAGTTTTCTTTAAATGGACTTTTGCTGGTCCATATTTGTCTAGTTCTGATTTGTTGATTCTGATTAAATGGACCTTTCCTGGTCCATATTCATATAATTCTGTCATTTCTGAGATTTCCATTTCAACAAAAGGACATTGTGCCTTGAGACCTACATGTTTTAGAAAGATGACTTGATACATGTTACCTAGGGTCAATGTGTGACCCCTGATGTCTCACAAAATACTGGCTAAGAACTATCTGGACAAACTTTGTATCAGTGACTGACAATCAAAATTCTGGGTTGCCTTATGGTCACAAGTGAACCGTTCTCCTTGTATTCATTTTTGTATCAATATACCTGGAGCGACCTGTCCCACCCATTTACTTGTGTTCCCAGTATTTCTTTTACTGCCTGGCTGTTTTTCTTCACAGAACACTCATATTAAAATTCTTGAGTTATGCACTGTTTTTTGCACCAATTCTTTATTTGAGAGACATCACCTTGGACTCAAGTGTGCTTCGGGATGTATCCAGCATGGTGTAGTGCAGAGGTCGTCCACCCCCAGTCCGTGGCCCATTGCCGGTCCATGGCTTGAGCCCAACCGGGCCGCGAAGGCAGACCTCCCGTCCCCCCACGTACTCCCCTCCCCACAGCTACTTTGCCCGCGTGTGTGTCAGCGGCGTGTGTGTCAGCGGCGCTCCCTCACCCCTTCATGCAAGCCCCCGTGTGCGCAAAGCACCTATGGGGAGGGGAGTGTGTGTGGGGAGAGGTGGGACGTCTGCCTTTGCGGCCCGGCAGCAGCGGCGACAGGGCTGGGGAAGAGCCGAAAGGCACGGCAAGGGCCGCAACGGGGGTGAGGGGTGGCTGGAGAACTGCCGGGAGGGAGACCAAGGCCCCGGTGTTCTGGCGGCTCCCCTCCTGGCAACAGCGGCGGCAACAGGGGGGAGGGGGGGGCTGGAGAACTGCCGGGAGGGAGACCAAGGCCCGGGTGTTCTGGCGGCTCTCCTCCCGGCAACAGCGGCGGCAAGGGGGGTAGGGGGTGGGCAAGAGCTGGATAAAATTACAATTAAAAAGACTCCCAGGCTTCCACCGCCAGGGGCGGAGAGGCGCTCCTGCGCATGTGCGAAGTGGTGAGGGAACGCGCGCGTGCCATAGGCGCGTACGCACCCCAACCACCGTGCGCATGCATTGGAGAGGGCAAGCGTGCAGGGCCGCCTCACCTCCCTCAGAGACTCCGCCGGGCCGGACTAATAAAAAGGTTGGGGAACTCTGGTGTAGTGGACAGAGTGATGGTCTAGGACTCTGGAGACCAGGTTTCCCCACTCGGCCACAAGAAACTCACGGGGGCAATAGAACTGGTAAAAGCACTCCTTAAATACTTTGCTGACCTTGAAAGCCCTATTAGGATTGATATAAGTTGATTGGAACTAGACACTACATAACTAAGGATGACAAAACAATTTTGCAGTACATTTTGAATAAATTTGAAACAATGTTGGCATCTTGTCCTCTAAAAATGAATACTTGTTCAGTTGAATTAAGTGCGATTCAAAGCACAGGAACATTTGTGAAATAGTTTTAAGAATTAGACGAGTGTTAAGAATGTCATTCTGGATTCAAAGGAGGTACAGCTTATGTTGGCCCTAGTAATAGAATTCACTGAAAACATCCTGCACATTTTGATCGGTTACAAACAATGAAGAACTACTGCAGTCAAGAAAGATACATGTGGAAAAAAAATCGAACATCTTCCCGTGTTCCACAACCCATATCACAATCAAGGTTTTAGTGGACTAATCTGAGGATTCTAATCCTGTGCACACTTCCAAGTTCTCCAACGCTCTGAAGCTAGGCTAAAGAGTAAACAAAGGAAAGGTGGAAATCCGTGGAGTCTGCATTTAGTCACAGTTAAGACAGAGTGCAGGAGGGGATGGGAGATATTCATAGCAGGCTTTGATGGATGTTACAATAGTTTCTGGAACATCTTAGAGCTGTGGACTGGAACTAAAACTGGAGGACCCCCTCCCATCCTCATCTTCTCAACAAGAACCTTCAATCTTCATCCCAATATTAGCACTATTCCCTTACAATGGAATCTCAGCGTTATTAGTTTGGACCCAAGGTTGTGTAAAGAAGTCCTGCCACTGATACAGCACACCTTCGAATTACCTGCTTTTAAATATGCTTCACCTGTTGCCCCTAAGATGCTTTTTTCATGAATGATGACTTGGAAACAAACACATTGGCCATTTATGCTGCAGTTTGAGTCAGAGTTGGTACAGACAACATTGAATTAAACTTACAAAGTGGACAAACGACAACAATCAAATTTTGCTGTAGTTTTGTAACCATTTTTTCCTATGATTTATTTTGTACTGAACAAAATTAATAAATACATTATCTAGGATAACAACAGGTTTTCATTTCATCCATGAAAAAATAATGCTTTCAGTTTTTCACATTTTAAAACCTGCTGTTTTTTAATTTTTAAAAGAAACTGAAAGAAGACAGTAGTCATGCCTAAATATACAGAATGTCCATGTAGGAGTTACATTTACAAGAACCTGATACAGAAGCCTACATTTTGCCCCCATAATTAAGAGTTCTCTGCAATAATATTTAAACCAACAGGTTTAAATAAAAGAAACAACACCTCAGAAGCCCTACTTGTAGAGCACTGAGGCATTTAAATTTCAAGTATTCAATCAGTAAAATGTAAAAGATTCTTTTCTGATTTTACAGTATACCTTTAAAAAACAAATATCCACCTTGGAAAAACCAAACCAACAGGTCCATTATTCCAGTAATCAGCTTGGTATTGTTAGAATCCAGTTAATCTTTTTCTCCTCTTCTTCAACAATGCAGAAAATAGCCATTTTTCTAACCATGGAGCTTGCTGGCTAAAAAGCAATTTATGAAAGATGAAACATGGTTTTCCTAGCGGTGAGATCTATTTGATAGAAATAATCCAGGTTTACTCCCAATAAATTCTTCTGCTGGTTTTACTACAGTCTTTTTTTTAAAAAAAAAATTGTGTGTCCATGAAATCTTTAGAAAATTCAAGAGTGCAAAAAGAGTAACACTCCTTCATTGCGTGGAAGGATCTCCATTGGCTGCAGACCTTACTTTGCCTTTGGTAATTCATAAGCAGAAATCAGACAACCTCTAGAAGGAAACCCAAAAAAAGACAAGTTAGTAGAGAGAACAACCTAAATTAAATAAAATTACATTGAAGTAATTGGTTGGACAGTGTCATTGAAGCGACCAACATGAATTTGGCCCAGCTCCGGGAGGCAGTGGGAGACAGGAGGGCCTGGCGTGCTCTGTTCCATGGGGTCACGAAGAGTCGGACACGACTAAACAACAACAACAACATTGAAGTGCTTCAATAAAGAACACTCCAGCAAGAACGACAACTACAGCTTGGACCTTAATCTTCCGTGGGAACACTATGCAGGGCATACTCTACACTGGCAAAAGGGTAGTGGGGTTAGAGTGGAACAGGTGATTTCTCCCATTCCTTCTTCCCTCTGAACTTCCCAATTAAGTTTCTCTTGATGGTTGAGGGACTTTCTGCAAGAAGAGAGAATTGGCAAACCCTTTCACCGTACTTTTTTCATTAGCAAGTGGGTGGGCAAAAGGTGGTCCTTTAGAGATTCTTGGACAGCAACTTCTAGGACCTGTGAGCAACAGAACCAAGCACCCTGCAAGGTGCAGTCCAGCAACCTTGGAGAGGGACCCATTTTGCCTGTCACTTTCATGTAGCTCAACTGCTGGACCAGAGTGCCTCCTGTCAACAGAAAGCAGCAGGCAGAAAATGTGTACTGCAGTGGTACTCTTCCACAGTGATCATATGCCAAGGATTAGACCGTACCTGCAATATTAAATGTCTCACTAAAGAAGACGTTTTCACAGATGCATCTTGTCATGAAGAAAAAGACAAGTTGAGCATAACAGTTCTCTTCCTGTGCATGTATGGAAGTTACAGGAGTCCTACCCCTCACATCCTGTCAACCTACTCCTCTATCAAAACAGTCTGTTGGCTCCTTTAAGAAACACGCAGCTTTGTGAGGGACAGAACTTGTTTATACTGGAATTTTTTTACTGTAGATAATTCATTTCAGCTTCTTCATGTAGTAGAGGGTTCTAGATCAAATGAAACTAGAACCTTGAAGCAAAAATGATTAAATTGAAGCTATTATACCCTGGCACATGATGAGAAAACTCAGCGAAAGACAATAATACTGGGAAAAGTTGAAGGCAGCAGCAAAAAGGAAAAAAAGAGAGATCGGTTGATTCAATAACAGAAGACACAGGCTTAGGTTTTCATGAGCTAAGCAGCGCTGTTGATGATTGGACTCTTTGGAGGGGCTCGCCATATGTTGGAGGCATCTTGAAGGCACATAACAACCGCCATGCGTTATAAGTCAGAGGAAATTAACCCTCAGATTCCCAGCATTCTCTGTCCTTCTGTCTAAAGACTGTGTGTGTTTTAAAGCACACTATAATTGTCAGCAAACACCTTAACGTGCACTTAATAAATAAACTGGATCCAGACATTTGCTGGATTTATTCCAAATGAACACTTCACACCAAAAGGCACATAACAACCGCCATGCGTTATAAGTCAGAGGAAATTAACCCTCAGATTCCCAGCATTCTCTGTCCTTCTGTCTAAAGACTGTGTGTGTTTTAAAGCACACTATAATTGTCAGCAAACACCTTAACGTGCACTTAATAAATAAACTGGATCCAGACATTTGCTGGATTCATTCCAGATGAACACTTCACACCAGTTAGAAACTAATGGTTTGAAGAGATTTAAAGCAGACTTACCTGCTGTTTGATGAGTTTGAACATTATCAACCTGTGGCAGTGACCCAAGTGTCCCCTTCTCTTCAAAGGCTAAAATGGGAGCTAAAGGAATGTCAGAGCTCTCTTTCTCGTCCTTGTTCATGGCATCCAATCTGGATGTCTTTGTGCCCACTGGTAAGCTGATGAGCTCTTCAAAGTTCTCATCCTGCATAGTCACTCCATTTTCATTTGAATGTTTTCCTGGGTTAAGGTTACTGAAATAAACAAATCAGTAATGCATCTATGTTCAAACATAAATGTATATATTTTATATTCCACAGGGAAAATCTGATTACAGTACTTTCATTCTAAACCTAGTACATGCACCATTTTATTTGCAGTACAAATTCTACGGAGAACTGTTAGACATGATTCAGCCAAAGTTAAGCATATTGAAGTTTCCCTGATTTCCATTAGAACAAGTCTGAGGCGTGTTTGAATCCTCCAAGTTTTATCAGACTACAACTTCTATTATTTGGCCTTTGGGGATGTTGGCTGAGGATAATAGAAGTTGGAGTATAAAAACTGAAAGCAACGTATTTCCAAACCCTGTCCAGTCCAGTGGAATTGAACAATTAATAAACTGTGCCCCCTCCCGAGATCCTGTTGGATTCCACATTTCAAAACCTCAGAAAGCCCAGGTTGGTGGGCAGACATAACAGGATCTGCTACTCATCAACATTAAGAAGGCCACTTTGGTGTAGCCAGAGGTAGGAAAAACCTGTCCAGGGATGTTACAGAGCTTTGCCAATTGAAATAGACCAGGGGTGGGCAAAGTGTGATCCTTCATATTCTTAGATTGCAACAACTATCAGTCTTAGCTACAAGACCCAAGGGCAAGAAATGCTGGGCCAATACTCTCCCCACCCTTGAAATAGCTAATACTGGCCTGTATGAACTAAATGCCATTCCCTTTGTTGGATCAATTCCCCCCACGGTGACTCCTTGCTGGACTCATGACTCCTTGCTGGACTCAACGATCCATAGGCCCCCTTCCAGCTGTGCAATTCTAAGATTAAGATGATTATGATGATTGCACAGTGTTTGTTAGGTATGGAGTAAATCAATGTAAATACTGTCAAATTGCTGCCAATCAAATCTTCAACAAAACTGTCGCCAATCAACAAAGTAGTCAAACATACAACCAAAAAGCTGTACAGTGATTTTGTAACTCTTCAGAATGAAAGTACAGTACTGTAATCCATTACCCAAAGAAATTAGATGTTTTCAAGCATGCTTATTTTAAGCTACTAGCAACTTTTCTTGATTTTGTTTTCAAGCACCCTCCTCTCTACTGCTTCTATATGATCAGCAGGTTTTTGAGAACACAGATTATAATTGACATGATCTCGTGCTTCAATTTGAAGAGACAGATAACAGCTACATACACTGATAAATATTGACAGCAGGTGGTACTTCCTAATTAATCAGAAATACAATCAAACCTTGGCAGGTGGCAGCTTTTCCATTATTCATTGTCTTCATTTCTTTTGAATAATACAGTGCATCATGATCGGGCAATGGGGTTTTGTTTTGTTATTGTGTGTGGGTGTGTTTGCCAATGAGATTGGCTGTCACTGTTACTTTAGTTGCCTATTCATTGAGAACAGCAGGAGAAAGTCGCAGTGCCCCCATCTCTGCTCAAGAGGAGTCTATTGCTCATGTGTGTAAGGATGGGGGAGGGAGAGAATTCAGGATGGCCATTTTCCTTTCCTTAACCCTTCAGCTTTCAAGCAAAGAAGCTCACAGCTAGCATATCCACACAGATGGTATCTGCTAGATAACCCTCCTCAGCACAGTGCACCTCTGCCAGCATGGGTGTACAGGGAAGAAATGTGTCTCTCTCTAGCTTCCAGTCTGTACTTAGCAAAAATTCCACCCTCTGATCACAAAACAATTTTGTTGAGAATTGATGGCAGTTTTCTGTTTCTTATAGCTTCTACTTCCCTTCCCTTCATTTTATCAGTACTGAAATTTCAGTGCTCCTTTCCTAAAGAATTGATGGCAGTTTTCTGTTTCTTATAGCTTCTACTTCCCTTCCCTTCATTTTATCAGTACTGAAATTTCAGTGTTCCTTTCCTAATTCTTTCTTTCCCAATCTAGTGCCATCCGTCTTCATTCTTTATATCTGTTGGTTATTTGAATGAGTCTCTGTGTTGGTCTCAGAGTCTTTATGACTTTAAATAAGCAGTGGTACCTTCTTTCACCCTTAGACCCACCCTACTTTTGGCCCCAGATTATGTTTGACTTTTTCCACTCTGTTATCTAGTGTGTTTTATTCTCTCTTTACAGTTTAAGTCTGAAACAACAAGCACAACAAATAAATCAGGCAGCACCACAATGCAGAAAAGCAGGGCACATATTACTGAACTATAAGCATATTAAAGCAAATGTTTACGGTGGCAATCAAAACCTGCTTAGACCTGTATCTATGCAATTTCTCAAAAATAATCCATTTAAGGAGTAAAAATGCTGTGTTTTGTTCATACTTGTGTGAAAAAAGCCAAACAAAAGCCCATCACAAGTAGAGGTGTGCACTAGTCCCAGCTGAATGTTACTATGTATTACTTTTCATTTTATTGCTTGGAACTATAGCACGTTTAAGAAAAGAAATAATTGATAATTCCATGAACTGAACATGAAGGATTTGTGTGTGTGTGTGTGTGTGTGTGCTGCTCCAGTCTGTAGGTAACTAGTGGCTCCTTGCTCAAGTCCGTGGTCAACTCTAAATCTCACAGATAACTGAAATTCTGAGGCACGCTGGGCCTAGTACAAAAAGCTGGTCTTCCTTTCTGCACATGGACACTAGTTGCAAGCAATTGCCTGTCAGTTTAACTTCAGGAGCCACTGGTTCTTCAACAGCATCAGCATAGAGACAGAAGTAAAAAAAGGCCTTTTTAAAAACTTCTCATTACATTTTAAAGAAGATGCTCTTAGTTACCCAGCCGCATCCTATGCTTTTAAGTATTGTTTGCTACACTGAGAGCTATAATTTTTAATACTGCAAATCTGACTAACCTTCAATATTACCCAGTGCACATTCTTGAAAGTAGGGTCCCTCCCCAAAAGGGATAATTCAGTTTAATTTAACATACATCTATCTCAGTAAGAAGAAACATAAAGAAAAGTTTATGTATTGCTACATAAACTTTTGCCACCAAACAACGTCACGTCTCTCACCTGGCTAGGTTTACTGTGGGCTGATGAGAAAGGAGCACATGTGTATGGGTTACCATTTCCCCATTCCGTGGAGATTCTGGCACACACTGAACCTGAGAGCCCATCATGGGGCTTAATGGAGACATAGGGCTGCTCACTGGTAGAGAAAAAGAAAAAGAAGTTATCCTTATAACTCTTTACTGAAAGATTACATTCATTAACTCTAGCAAAATGCTCTGAACTGTTGATGGTGATGGCAGAAAAAAATAGTTCAAAATTGCTTTGTGTAAAACTGCTGCTTCTCCCCTCCCCCCCAAAAAAATACATGGAAGCAGCCTATGAATACACATGGAAGACGTATTTGTCACATTCCCAGGAACCACTCACTGGAGGAAGGTCCCCTGTTCAACCTCAGGCATCTCCAGATGGGGAGATTCTCATAACTGAGAATTTTGGGAGCACTGCTGCCTGTGAATATGGACCAGGGATGGGCAGCTTTGCTAGGTTTAGGGACCACTCTTTCCTAGACAGGAAAAGTTCACTTCTGAGGTTTGGATTTTTTGATTTGAGGGGGATTAAAAACAAAAATACTCCCTCTAATCACCCAAAAGCAAGACCCTATGCTTTATCAGTTTGGGCTTTATGCCATACCTTAGAGGAGAACCACTACTCCTGGAGGAGGCTTCTGGGTGTTGTAATTGTGGGGAGCGTGTCAATGTCTGTTTTGGGGGCTCACATGTTGCCTACCTCTGACCTAGAAAATGCCATGCTGGATGCTCCAATGACATAACTGAGAATAAGTGTCAAATCCCCAATGCATTGTATGTTCCTTACCAGAAAGGAAAGAAAACAAGTGGTTTGGGGGCTGTGGCTCTAATGAAACTCTGTGAAGGTTTTGCTTTCCTTATGGTCTTATCTCCAATTAGAACCACTGTCACATATTTACAAAACAATTGAGTACCCAGTGTCCCTCTTTTGCTCAGAAATCCTAATGTGTGCACCAAGTGTATTAGTCTCAGAGAGCAGAGGCAAATGGAAATACATGACAGTACTGAATATTTTGCTCTTGCTGATTAAAAGATGACTCCCAACTGACTAATTATCTAAAGCTTTAGTTGATTCATAGACTGCTTAAACTAATTAAAACTTGCAATCATAATTGTGGGTTTCACTGCACTTGCAATCATAATTGTGGGTTTCTGCTGCATTTGCAGCAGAATATCCCATTCTTTCAAAGATTTAGACTTTGAGATTTCAATGACTCTTATTAAAAACATTTGGGTAACCAGTTTTTCAGCTCTCAGGTCATCAAACTTTCACACTTGACTACAGAGAAAAAGTAGTACCTGTTTCCTTTGTTATCTCCCCATTTTGCTGCTCATTTGATTTCTGTAAAACAAATCAATGTGGTTAAGTTAGAAACTGAACAGGGAAAAAATCCACATACACACAATTGTGTATCCTGAGTGTTACGTACTTTCTCTGCCGCTTCTGTTCGCCTTGTTCTTTTCATAATTTCTTCTAGACGCTACAAAAGAAGAAAGAAAGGAGGTGGTAGTTGTTATGGTCCATCTTAAACACTGCCATACTGTTTATAACATAAAAAAGGACACACTGACCAATATTTTTAATATATATGGATCTATAGCATAGACTCTGGCATATAGCTTTGCTGCAACCCTTGTTCCCTCTAATTTTCAGCCCCGCTGGGTGGGGGGGAGAAGGAGCCCTGTGCAGAGGGGGGTGGAGTCATGCTCGCTCGGGCAGTCTCGCACCTTAGAGGGAACCTTGGCTGCAACAATTCCATTACAATATTTTTTGTCTCCCTCCAATTGTTGGGCGAATACAATGTCTTTGGACTGATGTGATGGAAGGGGCTGCTGTACTCCCTTACAGAACAACTGAAATTGCCTGAAAGAGAAAGTGGGGGACATGTGTGCTGGCCCTGCTCCCTCCCCCATAGCACCCCAAGGATGCAAAAGAAAATCTGTTCTACACAAGGAGCTTCTGTTCTTTATTTGGAACCTTGACTGCGCAAGGTTCTAGATTCAGAGGACAGCCCATGCAACATAGCAAGCACAGGCTGCAGCAGGGAGGGACGTGTATGTCTCCTTCCATGCCATTACAGTTATGTACAGGAAAATGCCCTGAAAAACAGTGAGAGCCTTCATTATATTAATCTTCCTTGGCCCTTAAAGTCAACGGCCCAATCCACACGACTGAAACCACAGGGCGTTCCAAATGTCATCTGCTGTTACCTTTTTCCTTTCTAAGCGCTCCTGCTCTTCTCTTTGGAAATGCCTTTCACGTTCTAACCGGATCTGTTCTTCTTTTAACCGAGCTTCCTCTTCTCTCTGGAGAATGATGAAAGGAAAAGAAAACACGGATGCACTTTTCCTGATTGATCAAATTCAACAAATGATCTGCACCTCGCACCTTTCATCTACCCTGACTGTTCATTTCAAGTACTGGAGACTCACAAAACTGTGCCAAGGGGATGGATAGGTCTTTGCCATGTGAGCATATATTCAGGAATCTCTGGGTTTTCAGTACAGACCGTTTGCAAAATAAGGGTATTGAGATATGTAAAGTAGTATGAGCTATGTCTAAGCTAGTATCTAACAACTTTGAGGGCCCTAAGGTCCTTCTTGCATTCATTTCTGTATCCTATACAATGAATTTCCACAGATTCAATCCTATGTGCCTGTAGGAGCAACAAGAAGGACACAATCCTCTCAGAATCCTAAATGTGCTTATTGTTTTTATGCACACAGACAAACACACTAATTAGTAGGGTATAAATCCTATCCATGCAAATTATGCTGAGCTCCCACTATGCAGCTTTGCACCCTACTCTGGGGATATTGTCAGATTAAGTCTGCCTTGCTGGCCACTTTCTAGCTCCTTGTGCAAGATGATCAAGAAAGCAATGGGGGATCACTTTCTGTCTCACAAGACCTGCTTCTGAAGATGCTGAACTTCCTCTCTTTCTTTTTGCTCTTTTTCTTCTGCCAGACGGCGCAGCTGCTCTTCTTTTGCCCGCTCTTGTTCTGCTTCTCTTTGCTTCCTCTCAGCTTCCTGCTTCTGTGCTTCTTCCTCTCTGCGGGCTCTTTCTTCAGCTATCCTCTGAGCCAATTCCTCTTTCTTTTGCCTATCACCAGGAAAAAAAAGTAAGCATTAGACAAATGTATGGTGGGAGATGCATAGGAAGGGAATATGATTTTTAAAGAATACATACTTTGCTGCTGCATGCCTTTTTAAAGTTGTGAAAGAAGTAAACAGATAGTTTTTATAAACAATCCACAACATCTATTTTAAAGTGGTAAAACAGCCCCTCAGAAAAGAACAAGTGGTAGGTAATATGAGTTCTTAACAAAACAATAAAATCAAGACACATCTCTACTTTTGTTACACAATTATATTTTAGTAGTAGAAAAGTACACTAAATATATTAGTGAGGGGCTTTTTTCCCTACAAGAGAGAGAGAGGTTGACTGAACAAGATGCTGATTCCTTATCTAGAACCAGTGCACCCTTAACAGGAAATACTGTCTTGTTGACTCTGTGACCAGTTTCACTCTATTGGTTTTTAGCAAACTAGTGTGCTTTTGCTTCATATTTTGGCAACTAGGAGACTGAGCAATCAAACATGCTATGTCTCAGGCTGATTTCTCAGACACATAGCACCAAAAAGTGTGAATTGCCTGGAGGGAAGATGTAAGAAGGAGAAATAAACTTTTGCCATAAGGTGTAATTTGACCAGGGAAACTTATTCTAAACCTGGACAGACAATAATTGGTAAGAAAATATTGGTAATTCATAGCTTAGGTGTTTTAGGTGTTGTAAAAGAAAAAAAGTGATTTTTTTTCAATCGAGTTTAATGAGAAGATGTAAGAAGGAGAAATAAACTTTTGCCATAAGGTGTAATTTGACCAGGGAAACTTATTCTAAACCTGGACAGACAGTAACTGGTAAGAAAATATTGGTAAATCATAGCCTAGGTGTTTTAGGTGTTATAAAAGAAAAAAAAAGATTTTTTTTTCAATCGAGTTTAATAGAAATAAGCCATCCTTCTCCACTCCCCACAAAAATTCTTTTGTGATACAGAACCATGTGTGGGAGATACATAGTGCCTTTGTAAACATTTGAATATGCTTATTACAATCATAGCCTAGGTGTTTTAGGTGTTATAAAAGAAAAAAAAAGATTTTTTTTTCAATCGAGTTTAATAGAAATAAGCCATCCTTCTCCACTCCCCACAAAAATTCTTTTGTGATACAGAATCATGTGTGGGAGGTACATTGTGCCTTTGTAAACATTTGAATAAGCTTATTACTTCAGATATAGTCAGAAATTTTATTACAGTCAACGCTAAGCGAGGCACCACTGTAGTCAGAAATTATATTACAGTCAATAGCATAGTCTAAAGTTGACTGTGGAATAAAATGCTTCTTAATTGTGCAGGTCAGAAGATGGAAAGTGTGTATTTAGTTATTTTCAGGCCTCATTCATTTTTTAGTTTTGGGTTTTATGCTTCATGCCAACCAATATTAACATTTTCCCAAAGCACATCCTTGGTAAATGTTGGTTAATCACCTTTCAGCCTCTTCCCTCTCTTTCCTTTCTTGTTCCTCCCGTTCTCGTTGTTCTCGAGCCAGTCGCCGTTTTTCACTAAGCAGCCGGGTTGCTTCCTCTGGATCCGTTGTTCCAGCAGAAGGCTTGGTGCTGGCAGGAGATGGCAAAGATACCAGAGGAGCAGGGGGCACAGCTGGGGCAGCAGCTGAAGCAGTAAGAAAGGAAGAGCCAATGTTTGAGATGGGTCACAATGCGTATTATGTACTGTATACAGTATTTGTACAATACAGAAAATCATATATGTGAAGCTTCTCAGATAAGGAGGACATTTTGAAAGGTATACTGTAGCTACAGCTTGGAAAAGCACATGACTCAATGGTATATAGGAAAAGCCAGGAGGACTGGAAGAATTTTGCACAAGACTTGAGCTGTTGGCTATAACATTAGAGGATACTGGGCATTAGATGGACCACAGACCTGACACAGTGTAAAGCACATCCATGCATTTAAGTGAAGAGGTTGGAAAAGTTACCTTTTTTGGAGTACAACTCTCAGAATCGCTCAGCTAGCTTGAGCCACTGGCTGTGCTGCTTGAGGGACTCTGAGAGTTGTTTGCAAGCTCTGTCTTGCATGTTGAAAAAGAACACCAAAATGGCTTTCTCCTAGCTCAAGAATGGCATCCATTTTGTACAGGATCCTGCCCAACAGATGCTAGCCATGTACTGCCCAAAAGATTAGCCTTATGCAAGAAGCCCTTCCTCATTATTGTGCTCACATGATGGGTAGCAGATAGAGATGAGCATGAACCACCGGTTTGGACAAACAGTTGTTGGATGTTTCTCAATGCCGCCTCTTCCGATTGGACGCCCAGTCAGAGGCAGAGCCCCAGCTTCTTTGCTCCACCTCCTCCAGACACTGCCTCTGAGTGGAAACGCACCAGAGGAGGTGGGCTGGGAAGCACTGAACACATGTTCATCCAAAGAATGAACCAGCATGAACCACCAAACCAGAGATATGAGCTGAAAACATCTTTCTCAGTTTCCAAATCACTACAACCAAGGGCAAATATGTATATGAAGTACTACTTTTGAACTCTTAAAAGATACACAGTCTGTTACTGCTAGGTCAATATTCTCAGTCATATGGCTTACAAACAGGAAAATGTGGTAAATTCTCCGAGTGGGCCAATGCAGTAGCTAAACCACAATTATAAGTATGAAGAGCAACTGTCATCACCACCAACTTGCTTGCCACCTTCTTCCCAATTATGGTCAGAACCAGAGCCAAACTGAGCCCATTACCACTGTGCAGAAGGAGGGGACATGGTCAACCAACTCCTCCTCCTCCTCCATGCCAGAACTGCCTCATGGAAAAGGGACAAATGAATGTATGCTGACAAACAGAAGGAAGCACCTGCTTGCTTAAAAGCTTTATCCCTTCAGATCCAGAAGACAGATAAGCGGGTGAGCAAAATAGTGGTGGCAATACTGAGCAGAAGAAAAAAGAAGAGTCAACAGAAAAAAAATAGTGCTAATAAGGAAAGAGCCTATTTAAGGGGGTGGGGGTCCTGCCTTCTCTGATGGGGAGACACCAATGGCTTTTTGGTAATTGACTCCTGAAATCTGCAGTCAGCACTGCTTATAATGACACATATTATTTATACATATTGATAGTAGCATTTCAATTAAATCATTATACTTGACACAATTATCCTACGGCTTAAGTGAATGAAAGGAACACTGAAATGATGAAGGATGAGGGATCCATACAATTAAACGAGAGGGGAACACAATGGACATCTTACTCTGTGTGGTCTCTGGCTTACAAGGAAGTCCTCCTTCATTTGCAACCCTTTCTGTATCTGAGATTTCCTTTTCTTTGTATGTCTTTTCCTCAGAGGACGTCTCAGATTCCTGTCGTACTTCTTGTTTCTCAATTTCCAGCTTGTGCTCCTTTTTGACAGGTCGAATGTTGCCAGGGGAAGGTGGCCGTGGCTGAGTGGAAGAGATTCTGGAAGAGATCTGTGACGAAGTTGTCTTTCTGGGTGTCCCAGGCAGGAAAGGTAAAGACCTGGAAGCATGCCTATTTGAACCACAAAGAAACAGTAAGGGCAATGCTAACCACTCTGTTGTCGCTGTTGCTATTTCCATTTTGATTTTGGGGTTTAATATTTTCTCTCCTCCCATAACATAAAGACCACAAAGAGAGGAGAAAAGTAAAAAAAAAAGGGGGGGGGCAAAAAGGACATCTTAGAGACTAGATTAGTTTCCCCATCTCCTATCATGTGACCAAGAACACCTCCAAGGTAATAGTTTCCTGATAGTTTGAATGGCGTGGGTCCAGATGTCACTGAACCTTTCCAGCCAGCATCTTTCTTGTCAGAAAAAAACCCACAATTCTGCCACCACGCCTTACAACTTGCAATTTACTAACTTTTGCTGGCTGCCATCATCACATATATTTCAACTGCCTTGAGAAATATTTGTTTTCCCTTCCTTAACAACGGGTAAATCCTGGAACAGTGCTTCACACAGAAGTGTGCGCCCACTGTGGCTACAATAGTGGAGTCAAGACGGCTAGCATAACCTGTGCATTTCTTCAAGTTTTGTCTGTTCATCTTCTACTCATAATGGAGTTCTTATCTTTAAAGACTAATTACTTTTGTATCATTAAAGACTAATTACTTTTGTTTCACCTAGAGCTCTTTTGTTACTTCTTAATCCGATCCACATGCAGAATCCCTTTACATTTTCCATTATGAAGACAGTGAAGGGGACAAGAGAAAGAGGACCCTATCCACCAAGTGGCAAGGGCCAAGCAGTGATGAGTTTGGTGGATCTCTGGGATGAGGCAGACTTTGCCTGGGGTTTCCTTGAGCTGCCTACTTTTTCTTCCAATGAGGAAAGGTCTTGCTTCAGTTGAGAATCCTACTGTAACACAAGCAACTTACTAAACACAATGTCCTACAAGAATTTACTTACATACTCTTAGAATCTACTTATATTTATACAGTATCAAAGAAATATCCAAATCACATAAAGTGAAATGTGTACAGCCACAGAGAAGCCAAAAGAATTTTCTCAAGGTTAGATACATATATATTTACAATGTCTATAACTCCTATATTGATGAATGCATATCCGCAGGGAAGCCTAGGAAAATATTCATAAGGGATGCTCAATTCATTCATAGAGCTGCTTAATCCGTATAGCCCATATCTTGTTATAATTAAAGTTTCCTTGAGAGGCTTTTTAAAGAGTCTCATTGCTTTTCTTCAGAATCTAATCTTGCTTTGATAACAAGCTGTCTTTATTTTTTGGTAACGAATTGTCCATTGCTGCTGACCAAGATGCTTGCATGTATACTTGGTTTCCATTTTCTTTATCAAAGCACTAGGACTCAGTATTACCAACAAGGAATACTCTTTAGTCCAAGTACTGTAAGCTTCCTGGGGAGAAAAAACTGAGGCCTTCTGCTTCCAAAGCAACAAACAGTCTTCCCCATTTATTCATGGCAACCAGTTCTGAAACTGAGGGCACTTTCAAAACAGACCTGTACTAAAAAACTTTTAAAATTCTGTCCAGCATAGAACAAAATACCTTCCTCCCCCTCCACCAATCCAAAAGAGCACTTTAGATCCTTTGCTCTGTGCACGTTGTTCATCATCGTGTATGTAGTGGCCCTATAGTAATACAGTGGTACCTTGCTAGATGACGACCCCGCTGTACGACGAATCTGCAGGATGGTGACTTTTTGTGATCACTATAGTGATTCGCAAAACAGTCATTCCTATGGGGGAATTCCGCTGGATACTGATTAGGTCCGTGCTTCGTGGACCGTTTATTCGCAAGACGACGATCTTTACAGCTGATCGTCGGGTTCCTAAAATGGCTGCCCTATGTTTTCCGGACCCATGCTTCACGGGGCAGCCATTTTAACAGCTGATCAGCGCTCGGAAAATGGCTTCCCCTATGGGCGATCTTCGCTGGACAATGAGGTAATTTCCCCATTGGAACGCATTAATTGGGTTTCAATGCATTCCAATGGAGAATTGTTTTTCCCGGAATGGATTATCGTCATCATGCAGGGCACCACTGTACAGTATAATGCAGTAGCAGTTCTCAGAGGAGATAAACTAGTCACCTTCATTTCCTAGTTATAAGAAAACTTTAGCATGTGGAATGAAGTGCCTGAAGTGGTTTACTTTGAAACAGATGTTAGGTGCTTTGATAACGGATGGAAGAAGTGTACATCCTTTAGGAAGGTATGAGCATCCTGGAACCTCTTATAATCTACTGTCAACAAACAGAGTAGGGTCACTCCTTTAACATATTCTCTTTCCATTTCTACATGCATTCTATTTTTCTAGAACAAATACAGCATCTCAAAACAATGCATAGACTAATAAGTTACATACCACGCAGAGGATTTACTCCTGAAGGCTGAAGGTGAATGAGCTCTTTTTTTACCGGAGGGAGGATTTGATGAGGAAAGACCCTTTTCCTTTTCTTTTCTATTAGCCTGCAATTTAGCAAATAGGACAGATCATGGAGTTATTCCACAGTGCACTTCAATAAATACTGCTGTACAGATTCCACATCAGTGAAGTAACAACAACAGTAGAAAGACAGCCTCGTTTAAGGTGATAATGGTCAAAATCCTGTTGTTGTTTTTCTATGTGCATAATGTCTCATTGTGCATGCAATTGTCTTTTCATGTGTATGGGCATATTCAATATCCCCCTGCACATGCATAAGCCCCATTGTTTTTGCAAGCTGGAAATTGCTGGAGTGATCACAAGACACTCCACTCAAAGAATAGTTATGCTCCATGACTGCTAATAGGATTCTATCCAATCTCTTGTGCTCAGAAGCAAGAATTTGCTAGTATCAATTTTCCCTTTATTTGAAAATGAGTGCAGACTCTCTCTGTTAACTTCCAGGTCATGATCCAATGTTGTCATTCATCTGCCTCTGTCTGCAGAAACAGTGTATGTGTGTCTTACCCCCTGTCCCTCTGCAGCCTCTGTCCATTCAAATTGTGCCTCAGAAGCTAGGGGACACTCCAGAGCAGATTTTTCAAGCTATATGGAGGACTTTAAAGGTTAAAGAATAGAACAAAGTCCTATCCCACTAGCAGGCACCCACTAGCGTGGTAGGTCCTGTCTTTGACAATGCCTTCTGCAGAAGACGCTGTTAAAAATCCAACATATGTACTTATCAACCTCTTCTTGCAGAAAATATCCACCTATTGTTTTTTCATTGTTATCCTCTAAGATTCCTAAAATCTTAAAAGGGGATAGGGTGCAGTGGCTTTTCTGGTTTGACAAAGTGCCTTCAGTAACCCTTGAAATGTGTTGTTTGTAAGAGTTTACAAACAACTGAAAGATATTCAGCTTAATCACCACATTACATGATGCTATATTTCAGGTGCCGTCGGGCTTCTAAACCTTAGCATGCAAAACACAAACTAGTTTTCACTTCTAGAAAAACTTAGTGTCTTTTCTAGTATTTTCTTGTTCTTTTTTTCTTCCAAAGGCAGATTAATAAATTCCAAGCAAGTGCAGTCAAGCCATGTTCTCTTCCCGTGAAACACCACAGACCTTTCTGGTACAAAGTTACTGTGACTAAAACTTAGACCATTGTGACCCTTAATTGCATCATAAGGAATGAATAGTATAAGGGTGCTTCCAGAAAGGGAGCTATTCTGTTTTTTCTCCTTCATGAATATTTTGTGGAAAGAAAGAAAAAAAAATGGAAGAAGAGTTGAGAAACATGGAAGGATGGAAAATGGAAGATGAAGCCATCCAGAATCCCTGTAAAATTATGTTTCAGCCAGAGCAATACAGTAAAAAGGTTTCATCTGGAAGCACCCCAAGACTCCATATTCCACCAACAAACACACCTTGGAAAAGTTCCCTTTTTTGGACTACAATTCGGAGATTCCTCCATAACAAAAAGAAGTCTTGTGAGACTGTTAAAATTAACAGAGTGATTTAGCATGAGCTTTCATTGATTACAATCAACTTCTTCAGATGTGTGCAATACAATATTTGTATCAATACAATATGACTTGAATATTTTTCCCATCTTGAGCTATATTACTGTTGTTTTTTATTTTATTATTTTATTTTATTTTATCTATTATTGTTAGCCACCCAGAGTAGACTTTGGTACAGATGAGCTGGGTATAAACAAAACAAAACAAAACAAAACAAAACAAACAAACAAACAAACAAACAAACAAATAAATATTCAAGTCACAGGCAGATACACACTCTATGGTTGTGGTTGAGGGTGGGATCAGAGTGAAATGGGATACAAAAAAAATGACAACTGTATGAGCAAAACTGATTATAAACCTTCAAAGGGCTGATTAACATAAACATCCTGGGAAACTGCTGCATAGTTCAGTGGTTTAGGTCTCTGTCTGCAGAGCCAGAGGTTGAGAGTTCAGTTCCCCACTGGGCCTCCTTGACAGCAGCTGGACTCAATGATCCCTAGGGTCCCTTCCAGCTCTGCAGTTCTAAGATTGTAAACAACGTAATTAACTAATGATAAATATTTTAAAAACCTAACACACAAGTAACCATTCTGGTTGGGAGGTTCAGGGAGTTGTGGTCCCAAAACGTAATTTTTCCAAGACCTCATTCCACTATGCACTTTCTTATTCTGTGCAAGCCACTTTATGCAATATCGATTCACTTCAGCCTTAAGCCTATTCATAACGAGCTTACCCCTGCTGAATGAGTAGTCCTCCTACGCCTCACGTCAGGTGCTGTGCCAAAGAGTTTCGCTCTGTCTGCTGGATTTCGACAGCTGAGGGCCTTGAAGGAGAGAGGACTGATGGGGCTGCAAGATGCTGAACGGGGACAAATGGGGATAACTGGTGTACGGGGCAGGGTTTTTTTAATATATATATATATTTAACAGAATGCATAAAAGGAGAGCCAAGAGAAGGAAAGAGGAAAGGAGGAAGATGGAAAGGAGGAAATAAAGGAAAGAGAGTGTTAATATAGAGGAAAATGAAAGACGATTAAGTCAGAACCATCATGTGATTATCCATAAGTAACCTCAGAGGTATTCCAAATGGAAATATTTCACAAATATATCACTATGCTACTAAAGCAGGCTGTGTTTCTTGCCCAACCCCACCTCACCCTGACATTATCAGTGTATGCACTTGCAATTTCCATTTGTTTCCAAATCAGAGCTTCTTTAAAACTACCATTCTGGGTTAACAAGTAATAGCAGCCCAGCAATAGCTGAAAGTGAAACAGAACCCCTTCACTGAGCTGCCTCAAAAGTGACAAGGCAATGGAGAAAGTCCAAGGCTTTGGTTGGTTATCTTGAGGTGCAGGCACATTAAATCCTGGCCCAACAAGCTGACCTAACAATTCCTTTGTGGAAAAGATGCACTTAAATTGTCATATAGTGAACATTATTTTTTTTCATTCATTCATTAGCATTCATTTATTCATTCAGTCATCATGTACCCATACTCTGTGGGTAGTTCACAACAGGTTAAACAAAGTCTGAAGGGGGGTTGGGGATAGAACCGAATAAATTTTTTACATCAAAATTCATCCATAAACATGCATTTGTAAACAATACTTTAAAAAGAGTCCCTCTCAAGAACCTGCTTTCCAAGAATAATCACTGCAATGGTTCTGCTCAATAATTATTTAATTGGGAGGGGGGGGGAATTTCTAGATTAACTTACTACTACATATACGAACAAGATTAGTTTTAAAACCAGTAAGCAAAATCAGAATGAATAGCATACCAGGACTAGCTCTGGAAGAAAAGCACCCTATTCCCAAACAGAGAAGTCACAGATAAAGAGAACAAACAGATGCCAGAAACATAAAGTTCAGGAGCTCATCAGTATAATCATATTACTGTATAATGATCAACATGTGATCTAATGAAGCATGTCTGAAGCAGCCAGTTCTATAAAACTAGATTCCACTTTTTAGTTGCTAAAAACCCACCAATCAGCTATCTGGTATGGAACTAAGGTAGAGAAACTTAGTTGCACCCAATATTGACTTTGCATTAATTGGAAGCAATTTTGCTTGTGCGAAGTGGGATATACCTTCATTAGTTCTATTCCGTTTCCATCCAATTTTCACCATTCTTCCCTACCCACTGACACCCCAATTCCCTTTGAGAATCTGCCTCCGAGGTCTGTGAAGCACTCTGAAAAAGTGCAGAATACAGTACAGAGGGTGGGAGTAAGTAAGAGGAAATGGGTGAAAACTGGATGCTCTCCTTGCGGAAGTGGAAGCAGGTTCTCCCAATGCAAAGCTACCACTGGTACGGCCCACTGAAGGAAACTGGAACAAGGCCAAGATCTAGGCCTCCATTTTTCACCAAAACAAGTGAAAACCAGGGTTATAGGTTTTTTTACAAAGTGGCTTAATATGGGCAAACCGAACTACTTGATAGAGTACAGCAACCATATACGCACACAGCACATTATACAAAGGACTTGATCCAGTTGTTATTCCTAGCTAGATCACAGCTGTTGATTTAACAGGACTTCGATAAGTCAGCAGCCATGAGAGTCTTGTCAATTCAATGGGCCCACTCTGCTTGGGAATGTAAGATAAGATTTAGTCCACTGAATGAATGTAATTCGTTAAGCCAACACTAACATTCAATACTCCTATGAAATCCACCAATGCTCTAGTACATGAACTGTCCCTCCTAGTTTGCAGTTCATGACTCAGCATCAGTCAATTTAAGCACACTTAAATTTGGGGTTATATGTGTATATTGACTGACACTGAGCATTGACTACATCACGTCATAAAATTGTCATGATGTATGCGGAATCTCAGTTTTTCAGATATGATAAGCTACATTAACTTTTGCTCTCTTTTTCTATTAGAATATTTAAAACCCAGTTTGATCAGCTTTTCTTTCAAGAACAGTTAATACCTTTATATGTGAAAACTTTACACTTGGCTCTGCAGTATATTTTTTCTTATGAAAAAGTGTTTGGCTGACTCTGTTGTCTACCTTATACACACAGCCCTACACATCTCTCCAATGAGCTCCATCAAAGAAAGTGGATATAGGAAGACATCCTTAAAAGTATCCATTACTCAAATACCTTTCCCTTCCTTGGCACAGATAGCCCTTCTCAACAAGTCTAATTCCAGTTTTTGTTCTGTGCTGCCTGCTAGAGTTTTTTTAATTCAAAATGAAGTTGTAAGCACCTGAGGACACATACACATTCAAAAGTGGCTGTAATATATTATTCATATTCCCTAGAGGTGACCTGTGTTAACTCTATTAAATAAGATGTGAAATTAATAATCTCCAACTGATAATTGTGAGAAAATGACGTGTCATCGTTAACTTGAGACACTGAATCTTGCATCAAACACAAGCACCTGATTTTTTCCTCAACTCTCTAAGGGGGATGGGTGGACAAAGAAGAGGCAGCAGACCTTACATAGCCACCTCCGTGCTGTTTCTTGCAACTTCCCGTAATGCTTCCCAAAATTTACTCAGAATTATTAGCTAAGTCTGAGTGAGTTTCTAGGCAAGCCTCCCTTAATATTAATATTAATAAATGTTACTTTAATAAAATATGAAGTTTTATACAGACACGTAACATACACACATTTTGCTGGGTTTTATAAAATATTGAATATACTGGGGAAAAAACACAAAGTTTTGCCTAATCCCCTTAGATCATACTATTTTAGTTGACAAGCAGTTACAGTATAGTTAAGAAGCTACAGCTGTAGATGCCACTGGGAATATGGTTTATGGGTTTCTTCAGCCCACAGTTTATTAGCAAGGTCCTCTAAAACAGTGGTTCTTAGCCTTGGGTTACTCGGGTGTTTTTGGACTGCAACTCCCAGAAGCCTTCACCACTAGCTGTGCTGGCTGAGGTTTCTGGGAGTTGCAGTTCAAAAACACCTGAGTAACCCAAGGTTAAGAACCACTGCTCTAAAGGAAAGTGGATCATTCTGACAACTGGACCATTTCCTATTTCCTATTAGAGTGAGACAGAAAAAAAGCAAAGAATTTCAGAAATATGTAGAAGTAGTACAAGGCAAAGAAGCAGCAAAAGCTCACATACTTCTTATTTGAATTGAGATCTGTCAATTTTTACCCAACTCAATCTGACACATATTTTAATCAAACTTAATTTTAAAGCAGCATGCAGACACAGAGCTGTAACTCCCTACTTTGGAATCCAGGGCATGTGGCACAGTGTCCCACCCAACTCTGGGATGATGCCCCCCTCCCCTGGAAAGGGAGGAGGAAAACACAGTGTTCCCTCAAAAGAAAATGAAAGTGTATATCTAACAAAAAATAGGGAATGCAATTAAGTCAGGAGACATTGCTGTTTATCTTCCTAATACTCACCACTGAAATCACCTCTACCTTCTGGCACCTTCCGCATTTTGGTGCCCTGGGTCAAAGCCCCAGCTGTTCCACCCTAGTTACAGCTCCATGCAGCCATTGTAAAAAAAAAGGCAAAACCAAGTAGATGCTGAAAGCTTTCCTTTTACCTGCATCTCCGGACAAGGTTGCTGCACTTTTACTCCTGGCCAAGAAGGAATGTGTTGGTGTCAGAAGTCTGCTAACAACGTTGCTCTCCCAGGGACTTAGCTGCAGGCGTCGAGCTGAGTGTCACCACATAAGTGAGATATTAGATCTCCTGCTTTCCACAGATGAGCAGGTACCATACAAAGCAATTAATAAAACTCTTTTCCATTGCACATAGAGATTTTTTTTAAAATTAAAAACAATTAAGAGCTAGAGATGCCTCACCTTATTTACCTTTTACTGTGTATTTCCATGTCAGCTTTTATTACCAACATACCTTTTGAATACAAAAAAGTACATCCTATATTTCAGCACTTTGAAAAACTAAAAAGGTTTTATTAGTTCTAGAAACAATACATGTAAGTGCTGAGTGAACAGTGTTACCTATTGTAAAAGTTAAAAACATCAACGCCATCATAGGTAATTTCTTCTATTATTTACCAGCTTTTCTTCTACTATGGGGTATTTTAAAAAAGCAAGGTGTATTTATGCTTTTTTTATGTTGCTTCTAAAACATACAAAGAAAAATATGGGAGAGACATGAAATCTTCAGGCATCTGCAGCCTTCACATTTTCCCCACAGAGAAGATGCACATATTTCTTTTTCGCTTGTGACAATGTTACAAAAAAAGAGCAGAACATCCTGGTCCCTCATAAACCTGATTTTCACACCTCTTACCTGATAAAGGACTTCCGGATGCAGTGGCATTATTCTGAAGTCTACACAACCAGCTTTCAGATGGGAATGTTATCATTTTTAACACACATGATAAAATAGTTCTTGCAGTGGGAAATAAATTCATGAAAACAACAGTCCATCTGAAAGTGGTGTGTGTTCACAAAAATACATGTGAAATGTGTACCTATAGATATGCAAGGAGACAGATACAGCAGGACTTCATCTTCCTTTTTTCGGATTCAAAAGAAATTAGCAAAGGAGGAAAGGTAGCCCCATCATGTCTTGATATAATTCCAGAAATCAGGAAGCACCCTTAGTGAACTGAATCTACAGTCCCCTGAAATCAATTGCAATTACTTATGTTCCACTGATTTCAATGGGAAATACTGTAAGTGCAACTTCATCTAGATTCCAATTCTGTGTATCTGATAGAAGTTCCAACTTCAAACTCATAGCAGAAATAATTTTTAAAGTGCAGCATTAATGTCTCAAATCCCGCTTCTTTGTATTCAGAATTAAGCATTTACATTGTGTCTTCAAAATTATTTCCTTAGTAAGTCTGAGATATGAAAGATGTTGGTGCTTCCGTCACAAGGGGAGGTTTGGATACAGACGTGCTGCTAATCATGTGCCCCAACTCTTATGATTTTTCAGACTGTCCCACAGAGAAAGACAAGGGCAATTTCTGATAGAAAACTCATGTTATGCAAGTGTAGTCCCTGGGCACATATTCACAAATACTTGAGCCTCAGTTTTACCTACCTAGCTGGCTAGACAGCTCATGAATTAGGAGTCTGGCTGCAGAGCTAGAGGGCAGGAGTTCAATGCCCCCAATGTGCCTCCCAGGAGAAGAGCCAGCCTGTGTGGCCTTGGGCAAGCTGCACAGTCCTAGAGTGCTCCCAAAAGAAGGGAACTGTAAACTACTGCTGAGTACTCTCTACCTAGAAAATCTTGATAAGGGTCACTATAAGTCAGAACTGACTTGATGACACACAGTTATTATTATTTTACCGGCCTTAAAAAAAAGTTTCACATAAGAAATCTTGATTCTACATCCACAGTAGAATGCCTGCACAACTGTTGTTATGTAATGAACTGTTGCAAAAAAAGCTTTTCAATTAATGGAATCATGTTGAACCAGATTACAGAAAGTACAAAATACACTTACAGAGACCCCATTAAAACATACCCATGATCATTAAAATTGCATCTCAGCAAATGTGGGGTCAGGAACATGCTGTAGAAAATTTCTGAGAACACCATTTGCATTGTTTCCCCTCACTGAGCCACTTCAGTCAAGGCCTTGCTTTATATGGCCTCCCATGCAACACCCCAGGTTCATTTTTTTACCACTTCATCGTCACATTTCTTTCAAGAATCTCTTCAGTAGCCAAGCAAAAATTCATGGGAGAGGAAAATAACTAAAGAGAATGTGTGTGTGTTGGGCCTGGGTGGGGTGAAACACGCACCAAATAGCTTTCTGCTATCTCCATTAACACCTTGAAGCTTTAAGGCAGAACTCAACAATGAAATTTATGTTTTCAGGGTGGTGATGGTGGAGGGCACTGGCAGGAGAGAAGTAGTGGGCAGAGAGAGGCCTAACTCTCACGCCACTTGTCAGTATTTTCCAACAACTGTCACTAACAGTGACTATAGTCATTTTTAGCACACACTTCCTCTCTGAAATTGAAAGCAAGTCCATCTGGGGAAAAAACAAATTAATGGGGTGGGGTGGATTTGCAAGGGATAATCTGTAGGCATAAGGCAAGCTAAATATTTCTCCTTCCATCCACAAATTCTCTCCTACAAATGTGCTCTGTCTCCAGATTTCTGTTAGCTTGATAAATCTGAGCAATGTGCTTCCTATTTTATGAATATTCTGTCCTTGAAAATTTGTCATTATCTATAAAATATTAATGGCAAAAATTTTTATAATGATTTTGAAAAAAACTATTATTGATATTGTTACATAGACAGGTGTATATTAGAAAGCAAATAAACAAATAAACAAAAAGAGTACTTCTAGAAATATTTGTTTATATTATGCAACAGAATTTTGGCTACTGAATGATTTTGTCAAATTAATTATTCTTGATTGCCACAATATTTCTTCAACTGGGACAGTGAAGTGTCTTGATCAACTATGCACATGATATTTTCACATTTTTACTATAAAATGTATTTCAAAAGAAAGAGCAAATTAAGGAGGAGTGAAGGTGTGGGCATATTCAATCCACACTTTCCAAGTGTTGAGCTCAGAACTCAAAGCCAAATGGGATGCTATGTACAGGTATTCATTAGAAAAGTAATTACAGTACTTAAGTGTTGGGAACATATGCTTCTCCCAGTAGAAGCTTTTCACATCTGTTGTAGATTGCAAATAAACTTGGTTTACTGTAGTTTTTTATTGATATTCCGGACATAAATGTGAACTTTATTTGCATGGTTTAACGCATGGTTTGTAAGCTGCGCTGGGTCCTTTTGCTGGAAGGAAGGCAGGGTATAGAATAAACAAGTAGGTAGGGCAGCTCAGTTATGAAAGTCTGCCCTAACATCTGTTATAATGGTTTCAGAGTTGCATCTCTGAAACCATTATAAATTGTGGCTTCAGCAGACAGCCTAGCCTATCTTTAATGCAGTTTGTCCCACCACCAGCTCTTGATGTTCTCGCTAATTGTGTTTGCTTTCTACCTGAGGGGAGTAAACAGTGGGAGAGTGAAGTTTAGTCTCAAGCCACAAAGGCCCCTAGCCTCAACCTTCACTCTCTTATCCCTTGTCTCCTTTCAGGGAAAGTGGCTTTAGGGATGGGAAATTTAGGAGCCTCTGTAGGCTGGATTGTGAATTCCAGGAGGCTAGATTGCACCTGCAGGTTCAGGACTCCCCTCTCTTGCCCTAAAGCAGAGATGAGTGAAGTGGAGCACTGGGGCTATACGCAAGCCAAAAGCTGTTTTTGTACTCCTAGCTCCTTCCCGCTTTCTTCTGGCAAAATGAAGATTAATTGCTGCTCTTAGAAGCTTCCAGGAGTGGCTGTTGTTTTACAATAAGTCACAAGGTCAACTCGACCCTTTGCATTGTTTGCAGCCAAAAAAAAAGAAGAAGTATTTTCTAAGCCAGAATTGAACTTTTCAGCCACTCCCAATTTTCCCCTTCATCATCATCATCATCATCATCATCATCATCATCATCATCATGATCATCATCATCATCATCATCATCATCATCATGTTTGGGGGCCTATGCAACTTTAGATGGTCTCAAGAGTATAACACTGGCAGCCCCAAACCCACCAAAGTTTCTCCACCCTTGGAAAGTACAGTACTGTATATGACACCCTACCTCCTATCTATATAGCTGTTTGTGCAACAGGCCTCCTCATGGAAGCAATGCGATACGAGATAAGAGATGACATTTCATCTTCTTTTCTCCAGATGAGAAGCATTGCCTTGTGCTGCTCCTTCCTTCCAAATGATAATCAGTAGCATGGGCATGTTAGATTGAAAAGTAATTTATAAACTGAGCCAGAGTTTTTCCACCTCTGAAATAGTCTGGGCAGAAATGATTGCTAAATATTTTATATGAAAAGATGCTGAATATCTGTGGTGCCAAAGCACATTTGAATGGTTCCTGCAAGACTAGGAGGAAAGGTAGTAATCTACTCCAAAGTGTATGTTGATGGATACAATTAACAAGAAGCACAATTGGTACATGACATAATAATCATAACAAAAGCCACCTCATATCTGTTTCTATCTGCTTAATATCAGTAAGCAGAGACACCTTTATGTTTTCCACAGACAATAATGTGAAACAGTTTGGAAGATGAACAATTCTAAATAAAAACCACTGAAACAAAAAGGCAAGGAGTTATAACTAGAGATGGGGGTATTTGTATAAAGGGACGTGGTGGCGCTGCGGGCTAAACCGCAGAAGCCTGTGCTGCAGGGTCAAAAGACCAAGCAGTCATAAGATCGAATCCACGTGATGGAGTGAGTTCCCGTTGCTTGTCCCAGCTCCCGCCAACCTAGCGGTTCGAAAGCATGCAAATGCAAGTAGATAAATAGGGACCACTTCGGTGGGAAGGTAACAGCGTTCCATGTCTAAGTCGCACTGGCCAGGTGACCTCGGAAGATTGTCTCGGGACAAACGCTGGCTCTATGGCTTGGAAACGGGGATGAGCACCACCCCCTAGAGTCAAACACGACTGGACAAAAAATGTCAAGGGGAACCTTTACCTTTACCTTTACCTCCACACAGGCGGACACAACACGGGTTCAAGCCCCCTGAGGCCAGACTGTCCATTCACCTTCTGCAGTTGCCCGGCCTCCGTGCTCCCTTCCTATCACTCCGGAGCTCGCGGTCTGTGAGCCACTCTTCGACCTGGCAGTAAGGCTTGTCCTC